CGTTACGCTCGTCTGCTGTTACACTAGTGTTCGTTACTCTCGTCTGCTGTTACACTAGTGTTCGTTACGCTCGTCTGCTGTTACACTAGTGTTCGTTACGCTCGTCTGCTGTTACACTAGTGTTCGTTACTCTCGTCTGCTGTTACACTAGTGTTCGTTACGCTCGTCTGCTGTTACACTAGTGTTCGTTACACTCGTCTGCTGTCACTAGTGTTCGTTACGCTCGTCTGCTGTTACACTAGTGTTCGTTACACTCGTCTGCTGTCACTAGTGTTCGTTACGCTCGTCTGCTGTCACACTAGTGTTCGTTACGCTCGTCTGCTGTCACTCTAGTGTTCGTTACGCTCGTCTGCTGTCACTAGTGTTCGTTACGCTCGTCTGCTGTCACACTAGTGTTCGTTACGCTCGTCTGCTGTCACACTAGTGTTCGTTACGCTCGTCTGCTGTTACACTAGTGTTCGTTACGCTCGTCTGCTGTCACTCTAGTGTTCGTTACGCTCGTCTGCTGTCACTAGTGTTCGTTACGCTCGTCTGCTGTTACACTAGTGTTCGTTACGCTCGTCTGCTGTTACACTAGTGTTCGTTACGCTCGTCTGCTGTCACTAGTGTTCGTTACGCTCGTCTGCTGTCACACTAGTGTTCGTTACGCTCGTCTGCTGTCACACTAGTGTTCGTTACGCTCGTCTGCTGTCACACTAGTGTTCGTTACGCTCGTCTGCTGTTACACTAGTGTTCGTTACGCTCGTCTGCTGTCACACTAGTGTTCGTTACGCTCGTCTGCTGTCACTAGTGTTCGTTACGCTCGTCTGCTGTCACACTAGTGTTCGTTACGCTCGTCTGCTGTCACACTAGTGTTCGTTACGCTCGTCTGCTGTCACACTAGTGTTCGTTACGCTCGTCTGCTGTTACACTAGTGTTCGTTACGCTCGTCTGCTGTCACTCTAGTGTTCGTTACGCTCGTCTGCTGTCACTAGTGTTCGTTACGCTCGTCTGCTGTTACACTAGTGTTCGTTACGCTCGTCTGCTGTTACACTAGTGTTCGTTACGCTCGTCTGCTGTCACTAGTGTTCGTTACGCTCGTCTGCTGTCACACTAGTGTTCGTTACGCTCGTCTGCTGTCACACTAGTGTTCGTTACGCTCGTCTGCTGTCACACTAGTGTTCGTTACGCTCGTCTGCTGTTACACTAGTGTTCGTTACGCTCGTCTGCTGTCACACTAGTGTTCGTTACGCTCGTCTGCTGTCACTAGTGTTCGTTACGCTCGTCTGCTGTCACACTAGTGTTCGTTACGCTCGTCTGCTGTCACACTAGTGTTCGTTACGCTCGTCTGCTGTCACTAGTGTTCGTTACGCTCGTCTGCTGTCACACTAGTGTTCGTTACGCTCGTCTGCTGTCACTAGTGTTCGTTACGCTCGTCTGCTGTCACTAGTGTTCATTACGCTCGTCTGCTGTTACACTAGTGTTCGTTACGCTCGTCTGCTGTTACACTAGTGTTCGTTACGCTCGTCTGCTGTCACTAGTGTTCGTTACGCTCGTCTGCTGTCACTAGTGTTCGTTACGCTCGTCTGCTGTCACTAGTGTTCGTTACGCTCGTCTGCTGTCACTAGTGTTCGTTACGCTCGTCTGCTGTTACACTAGTGTTCGTTACGCTCGTCTGCTGTTACACTAGTGTTCGTTACGCTCGTCTGCTGTTACACTAGTGTTCGTTACGCTCGTCTGCTGTCACTAGTGTTCGTTACGCTCGTCTGCTGTCACTAGTGTTCGTTACGCTCGTCTGCTGTTACACTAGTGTTCGTTACGCTCGTCTGCTGTTACACTAGTGTTCGTTACGCTCGTCTGCTGTCACTAGTGTTCGTTACGCTCGTCTGCTGTCACACTAGTGTTCGTTACGCTCGTCTGCTGTCACACTAGTGTTCGTTACGCTCGTCTGCTGTCACACTAGTGTTCGTTACGCTCGTCTGCTGTTACACTAGTGTTCGTTACGCTCGTCTGCTGTCACACTAGTGTTCGTTACGCTCGTCTGCTGTCACTAGTGTTCATTACGCTCGTCTGCTGTCACACTAGTGTTCGTTACGCTCGTCTGCTGTTACACTAGTGTTCGTTACGCTCGTCTGCTGTCACTAGTGTTCGTTACGCTCGTCTGCTGTCACACTAGTGTTCGTTACGCTCGTCTGCTGTCACACTAGTGTTCGTTACGCTCGTCTGCTGTCACACTAGTGTTCGTTACGCTCGTCTGCTGTTACACTAGTGTTCGTTACGCTCGTCTGCTGTCACACTAGTGTTCGTTACGCTCGTCTGCTGTCACTAGTGTTCGTTACGCTCGTCTGCTGTTACACTAGTGTTCGTTACGCTCGTCTGCTGTCACACTAGTGTTCGTTACACTCGTCTGCTGTTACACTAGTGTTCGTTACGCTCGTCTGCTGTCACACTAGTGTTCGTTACGCTCGTCTGCTGTCACTAGTGTTCGTTACGCTCGTCTGCTGTCACACTAGTGTTCGTTACGCTCGTCTGCTGTCACACTAGTGTTCGTTACGCTCGTCTGCTGTCACTAGTGTTCGTTACGCTCGTCTGCTGTCACACTAGTGTTCGTTACGCTCGTCTGCTGTCACTAGTGTTCGTTACGCTCGTCTGCTGTCACTAGTGTTCATTACGCTCGTCTGCTGTTACACTAGTGTTCATTACGCTCGTCTGCTGTTACACTAGTGTTCGTTACGCTCGTCTGCTGTCACTAGTGTTCGTTACGCTCGTCTGCTGTCACTAGTGTTCGTTACGCTCGTCTGCTGTCACTAGTGTTCATTACGCTCGTCTGCTGTCACTAGTGTTCGTTACGCTCGTCTGCTGTTACACTAGTGTTCATTACGCTCGTCTGCTGTCACTAGTGTTCGTTACGCTCGTCTGCTGTTACACTAGTGTTCGTTACGCTCGTCTGCTGTCACTAGTGTTCGTTACGCTCGTCTGCTGTCACTAGTGTTCGTTACGCTCGTCTGCTGTTACACTAGTGTTCGTTACGCTCGTCTGCTGTTACACTAGTGTTCGTTACGCTCGTCTGCTGTCACTAGTGTTCGTTACGCTCGTCTGCTGTCACACTAGTGTTCGTTACGCTCGTCTGCTGTCACACTAGTGTTCGTTACGCTCGTCTGCTGTCACACTAGTGTTCGTTACGCTCGTCTGCTGTTACACTAGTGTTCGTTACGCTCGTCTGCTGTCACACTAGTGTTCGTTACGCTCGTCTGCTGTCACTAGTGTTCGTTACGCTCGTCTGCTGTCACACTAGTGTTCGTTACGCTCGTCTGCTGTCACACTAGTGTTCGTTACGCTCGTCTGCTGTCACTAGTGTTCGTTACGCTCGTCTGCTGTCACACTAGTGTTCGTTACGCTCGTCTGCTGTCACTAGTGTTCGTTACGCTCGTCTGCTGTCACTAGTGTTCATTACGCTCGTCTGCTGTTACACTAGTGTTCATTACGCTCGTCTGCTGTTACACTAGTGTTCGTTACGCTCGTCTGCTGTCACTAGTGTTCGTTACGCTCGTCTGCTGTCACTAGTGTTCGTTACGCTCGTCTGCTGTCACTAGTGTTCATTACGCTCGTCTGCTGTCACTAGTGTTCGTTACGCTCGTCTGCTGTTACACTAGTGTTCATTACGCTCGTCTGCTGTCACTAGTGTTCGTTACGCTCGTCTGCTGTTACACTAGTGTTCGTTACGCTCGTCTGCTGTCACTAGTGTTCGTTACGCTGACTGGAAACTAACGACAGCATGAATAACAGCACTGGAGCCAGTACAGATGAACTGGTGATCACAGCATGGGTGGAGATCATTAACATTCAGCTTTGTTTGGTTTGAGTTTCTCTGTTAAATTAAACATGAATGTGATTGACAGAACAGCCAATTATAAATGTGTCCACTGATGAAGTGTGTGTGTGTGTGTGTTCACTGTCTGTCGGTCTGTAGGGTCTGCGGAATAAGCCGAAGAAAACAGGTCATGTGAAGCCCGAGCTGATTGACGTGGACCTGGTCAGAGGTAAGTCAAACACACACACAGACACTGTCGCACACAAACAGTCAAATACACACTCAGTCATGCAAATACTAAGTCACACGCTCGTCTCACACACAGGGTCTGCGTTTGCGAAGGCGAAGCCGGAGAGCCCCTGGACGTCTCTGACCCGGAAGGGGATTGTGCGTGTGGTGTTCTTCCCTTTCTTCTTCCGCTGGTGGACTCAGGTGACGTCCAGAGCCGTGTTTTACCTGCTGCTGACGCTGTACCTGCTGCAGGGTGAGCTCTGAATGAGTGTGTGTGTGTGTGTGTGTGTGTAAAGCATTCTGACACTGTCTCTACACGTCCAACCTATTTCACAATTCACCTGTTTAAAGCTGCTGCTTGATGAGGTCACAGTAGTGTGTGTGTGTGTGTGTGTGTGTGTGTGTGTGTGTGTGTGTGTGTGTGTGTGTGTGTGTGTGTGAGAGTCTGGGTGGAGTGTTTTGTAGGCATTTAAAACTGTGGTGTGTGCAATAGTAATCCAAATTATTTGACACTAAAAATGTAAGCAGACGTGTGTTTGATTGCGCAGACGTGTTTGTGTGTGTGTGTGTGTGTGTGTGTGTGTGCAGTGCTGGCAGCGCTCCTCTTCTTCTCCATCTCCACTCCTCATGCTGTGCCGCTGACGGAGGTGTTCGGCTCCACCTGGCTGATGCTGCTGCTGGGCACCGTCCACTGCCAGATCGTCTCCACACACACTCCCAAGAGCAGCGGCAGCAGCAGCAGCGGGAAACGCCGCAGGTCAGGCTCTGAGTGTGTGTGTGTGTGTGTGTGTGTTCTGCTGACGGGGACCAGAGTCGCTTCTGCTAAACTCCTTCCTCACACTCAGACTTCAGGCTCAGAATCTCAGGCCAGTCCTAAAATACACACTGCGCGCACACACACGGGCGTTCTGTGTGTGTGTGTGATTCAGGGCAGCTCTTCAGTTTCACACACAGCTCATGTTTACACACCTCGATGACATTGCGATGATGTTCTGCTGCATCAGTGTCACACACACACACAACACAACACAGTCTGTTGCTGCCAGACTCCAGCGTGTGTGTGTGTGTGTGTGTGTGTGTGTGTGTGTGTGTGTGTGTGTGTGTGTGTGTGTGTGTGTCCTGCTGCAGCTGTCGTCAGACTCTTCTCTGAGTGTAAACATGAGCACTTCTGCATGAGATCAGACACACACTCTTACTGATGACACACACACACTTTCACTTGTAGTGTAGTCCTGATAGATCTCTCTGGCGCTGACCCCTGACCTCTGACCCCTGACCTCTGAGCAGAACAGATGGGCTGCGTCCAAACTCACCTACTACTGCAGTGTGCACTACATCTGAGTGTGGTCTATAGAGTCGTCTCGCGCTGCATTATGGGATAGCGTAGCGTTCATCAGATGCATGGATCAGAAGCAGCAGGTCATTTGGGAGCTCCTACTGTCTGTACAATACTGAATTCACACACTCGACCCCTAATCAGGGACAGTGCAACACAGAGAGAGAGAGCAGCGACTCCACATTTACTCATCTCCTGACCTGACGCGAGTGAATCTCCATCCTCTGCTGTCAGTCAGAGCTCAACACACTGCAGAAACAGAGACAGGAGATCAGGTGATCTGCTGGATGATGAGGTGATGTTCACAGGTGATGGTGATGGTGATCTGCTCATCAGGTAAGCTCTAGTGCTTTAGGAGCAGAGAGGGGTCGAGGATTCCCAGTTTACCAACGAATATGAGTGAAGTGTGTGAACACAATGCTCCTCAGAGAGAGAGAGGAGGACATGTGGAGATTTCCCCTTCAGCAGTGCAGAACAGCATGTGGAGGATCTGGAGGAGTTTCAGTGCGTAAAGGACAAGAGCGCAAGCCTGAGCTGAACAACCGTGACCTCCGACCCCTCAGGGGCCTCAGGGAGCTCAGCACTACTGCGCTAAACCTGTGACAAGCAGCACAACACAGAGTCACATCCACAAACACCAGCCAACACTGCACTGTGCCAAGAGGAAGCCCTATGCTAACAGTGTCCAGAAGCACTTCTCTGGGCTGGGAGGCGTCTGGGATGGAGCATCACACAGTGGAGACGTGTCCTGCGCTCAGATGAAGCAGAGTTTCAGGTGTTTCTGGGAGAAATGGACGCCGTGAGCTCCAGACCAAAGAAGAAGAGGATCATCCAGACTGACACCAGCAACACGTCCAGCAGCCCGGCTCTGTCATGCTCTGGGGTTGTGTCGGTGCTCTTGGTGAAGGTGACCTGCTCTTCTGTGATGCTCCAGTAATGCTGAACAGCACAGAGAGATTCTGGAGCCTCACTCCCTGCAGAGTCCAACAAGACAATGCAGAACCACACTCAGCCCACATTACAGAGAAGAGGAGACGCTGGACTGACCTGCCTGCAGTCCTGACCTGTCTCCAGTAGAGAATCTGTGGTGAATTATGAAGCTTGTTTGCAGGAAGAATGACTCACATCATGACAGTAGTGTACTATGTAGTATAGAAGTGTGTGATTTAGGACACAGCCTGCCTCTGTTCCTCTGCTCTCCGTCAGCTCTTCTTCTGTTTCTCCTCCTGGTTTACCTGTTCTGAGTGTTCTGCACTGTTGCTGTGTGTGTGTGTGTGTGTTTGTGTGGTAAAGGCGGTTAAGGAAAGCGCTGCGAGTGGACGTGCGCAGGGATTGTGACGGCTCCAGCACCACTGACTCCCCGCAGGAGGGGGCGCCGCTGGGCTCGGGCTCCGCCAGCTCACACTGCCTCCTCACAGCGCTGCGCAAGCTCTACACACACATCTGTACAGCGGGGTGTGTATTACTGTACACACACACACACACACACACATCTGCACAGTGGGTTGTGTATTACTGTACACACACACACACACACACATATCTGCACAGTGGGGTGTGTATTACTGTTCACACACAGACACACACACACATATCTGTACAGCAGGGTGTGTATTACTGTACACACACACACACACACATCTGCACAGTGGGGTGTGTATTACTGTACACACACAGACACACACACACACACAATCTGCACAGTGGGGTGTGTATTACTGTGTCTCTCCTGCAGGACCACACACACACACACACACACACACACACACACACACACACACACACACTATGTACTGATCTCTGTACAGCGGGGTGAGTATTTCATCTCTTTTACAGTGCCACAACACCCCCCCAACCACACACACACACGCACGCACGCGCACACACACATGGGGATTTTGTGGCCCTGCTGTTTCTCTGCTGTGTGTGTGTGTGTGTGTCTGGCTCCACACTCCTGTACCTGCTCACCTTCAGGTCCTCTTTTGCTCCTCCAGCAGGTCCCGAAAGGCGAAGCTGTCGATGGATAAATCCACGGAGACGGACAACGGTTACGTGTCTCTGGACGGACGCATCACCAGCCGGAGCAGCGAGGAGCGACTGCAGCACGACACACACTGCGACCTGCTGCGTACACACACACCACTGCTGCCACCACCGCCCCCGCCGCACACTGGGAAGGTGAACACACACACAAATACTTAGAAACATACACAAAGAGACACACACACACACACACACACACACACACACACTAATGTGACTGTAGGCAGATGTGAGTCCTCAGGACAGACCAGCGTCCTCATAAACACACCGCACTGTGCACGTGTGTGTCCTCATAAATCACACTCACCTGTTCTCGTCCGCAGTGTGTGTCGGAGGCTGCAGGTGTGCGTGCGGGCCACAATCTGTCAGACGAGGCGTCCAGTGAAGAAGATCCAGAGAACTACAGCGCCGTCCGCAAGAGCAGCGACTGCACACTGCGCAACCGCAAACACACACACTACAAGAAGATGTACAGCGCAGAGGTAAACACACACACACTGCACAACCGCAAACACACACACTACAAGAAGATGTACAGCGCAGAGGTACACACACACACACACTGCACAACCGCAAACACACACACTACAAGAAGATGTACAGCGCAGAGGTACACACACACACACTGCGCAACTGCAAACACACACACTACAAGAAGATGTACAGCGCAGAGGTACACACACACACACACTGCACAACCGCAAACACACACACTACAAGAAGATGTACAGCGCAGAGGTACACACACACACACTGCGCAACTGCAAACACACACACTACAAGAAGATGTACAGTGCAGAGGTACACACACACACACACACACACACACACACACACACACACACACACACACACACACTGCGCAACCGCAAACACACACACTACAAGAAGATGTACAGCGCAGAGGTAAACACACACTTACTCACACACACTCTCTCTCTCTCTCTCTCCTCCTGCAGGACGCAGTGGCGTGTGGCGCCGGCTGTAGTCCGCGCTGCTGCAGCATGCGTGCGCAGGACTCGTGCAGTGTGCGGCAGGAGTCGGAGACGGAGGATGTGCTGTGGGAGGAGTTCCTGCACTGCGCTGAGTGCCGCTCGTCCTGCAGCAGCGAGACCGACGCAGACACCACAGCAGCAGTGTGTGCGTCCGCCAAGAAGGAGTTCAGGGACGACCCCTTCCAGCAGGTGCGCTCACAAACACACAACCACACACACACACACACACACACACACACACACACACGCACACACACAGAGAGTTATAGCTGTTTGGCAGATGCTGATGGTCTGATGCTGATGGTCTGATGTTGATGATCTGATGCTGATGGTCTGATGTTGATGGTCTGATGCTGATGGTCTGATGTTGATGGTCTGATGTTGATGGTCTGATGTTGATGGTCTGATGCTGATGGTCTGATGCTGATGGTCTGATGTTGATGGTCTGATGTTGATGATCTGATGCTGATGGTCTGATGTTGATGGTCTGATGCTGATGGTCTGATGTTGATGGTCTGATGTTGATGGTCTGATGTTGATGGTCTGATGCTGATGGTCTGATGTTGATGGTCTGATGCTGATGGTCTGATGCTGATGGTCTGATGCTGATGGTCTGATGTTGATGGTCTGATGCTGATGGTCTGATGCTGATGGTCTGATGCTGATGGTCTGATGTTGATGATCTGATGCTGATGGTCTGATGTTGATGATCTGATGTTGATGGTCTGATGCTGATGGTCTGATGCTGATGGTCTGATGTTGATGGTCTGATGCTGATGGTCTGATGTTGATGGTCTGATGCTGATGGTCTGATGTTGATGGTCTGATGTTGATGGTCTGATGCTGATGGTCTGATGCTGATGGTCTGATGCTGATGGTCTGATGCTGATGGTCTGATGCTGATGGTCTGATGTTGATGGTCTGATGCTGATGGTCTGATGTTGATGGTCTGATGCTGATGGTCTGATGTTGATGGTCTGATGTTGATGGTCTGATGTTGATGATCTGATGCTGATGGTCTGATGTTGATGGTCTGATGCTGATGGTCTGATGTTGATGGTCTGATGCTGATGGTCTGATGTTGATGGTCTGATGCTGATGGTCTGATGTTGATGGTCTGATGTTGATGGTCTGATGCTGATGGTCTGATGCTGATGGTCTGATGCTGATGGTCTGATGCTGATGGTCTGATGCTGATGGTCTGATGTTGATGGTCTGATGCTGATGGTCTGATGTTGATGGTCTGATGCTGATGGTCTGATGTTGATGGTCTGATGTTGATGGTCTGATGTTGATGATCTGATGCTGATGGTCTGATGTTGATGGTCTGATGCTGATGGTCTGATGCTGATGGTCTGATGCTGATGGTCTGATGCTGATGGTCTGATGCTGATGGTCTGATGCTGATGGTCTGATGTTGATGGTCTGATGCTAATGGTCTGATGTTGATGGTCTGATGTTGATGGTCTGATGTTGATGGTCTGATGCTGATGGTCTGATGTTGTCTGTGTTCAGGGTCACCTGCCGTGGCTGCACAGCTCTAACCCGGGTCTGGAGCGCGTCAGTGCAATCGTGTGGGAAGGAAACGAGTGCAAGAAAGCAGAGATGTCTGTGCTGGAGATCAGCGGCATGATCATGAACAGGGTGAGTGTGTGTGTGTGTGTGCGCTTGCGTGCGTGTATGTGTGTGAACCTGTTCTCCTCTGTCCTCCTGCAGGTCAATCTCTACACCCCGGGCGTGGGTTATCAGATCCTGGGCAGTGTGGTGTGTGTGGCTCTGGGCGTGACGCCGCTGCTGTTCCGGCTCTTCCAGCACAGGGATGTGGATCAGCTGTCGGCTGCTGAGCTGCTGCAGGCGGCGCTGGGCTCTGCTGACCCGCTGCTGCAGGCCACCGTCATCATCAGCCTGCTGGTCCGGGTCTGCCTCGTCTGGCTCTTCTTCTTCCTGCTCAGCGTCGCAGAGAGGACCTACAGACAGGTGAGCTGAGCAATGATCACACCTGCACTGGGTCTGTCAGTGTTCTGCTTCACTCACAGCTTTACTCAGACGTGTGTGTGTGTGTGTGTGTGTGTGTGTGTGTGTGTGTTTCAGCGCCTGCTGTTTGCGAAGCTGTTTGGTCACCTGACCTCGGCGCGGAGAGCCAGAAAATCTGAAGTTCCTCATTTCCGGCTGAAGAAGGTGCAGAACATCAAGATGTGGCTGTCGCTGCGCTCATACCTGAAGGTACACACACACACACACTCACTGCTCCTCATACACACACTCATCTAATCTCTCTCTCTCTCTCGGTGTGTGTGCAGCGTCGGGGGCCGCAGCGCTCTGTGGATGTGATCGTGTCGTCTGCGTTTCTGCTCACACTGTCGGTGGTGTTCATCTGCTGCGCACAGGTCAGTGTGTGTGCGAGACTGTGTGTGTGTGTGTGTGCTGATGAAGTGTGTGTTCACTGCCGGACTGTGTGTGTGTGTGTGTGTGTGTGTGTCCTGCAGCTGCTGCACGTGCACGAGACGTTCCTGGAGTTCCACTATAACTGGGAGCTGCTGATCTGGAGTGTGTCGCTGTCGCTCTACCTGCTGCGCTTCGTCACACTCGGCTCCGAGACCAGCAAGAAGTACAGCAACACCTCCATCCTGCTGACCGAGCAGGTGCGCACACACACACACAGTCACATACACACACACTATCACTCCTCCTCTCTGTAACCCCCCTCCTCCTCCTCCGCGTTGGTCTCTTCCAGATTAACCTCTACTTGAAAATGGAGAAGAAACCAAACAAGAAGGAGGAGCTGACCCTGGTCAACAACGTGCTCAAGCTGGCCACCAAACTACTGAAGGTCAGCGCTGTGTGTGTGTGTGTGAGTGAGTGTGTGTGTGTGTGAGTGTGTGTGTGTGTGTGAGTGTGAGTGTGACTGTGTGTGTGTGTGACTGTGTGTGTGTGTGTGAGTGTGTGTGTGTGTGAGTGTGTGTGTGTGAGTGTGTGTGAGTGTGTGTAGCAGACGCAGAGCAGTAGGCTGACCGTGTGTGTGTGTGTGTGTTGCAGGAGCTGGACGCCCCGTTCCGCCTGTACGGTCTGACCATGAACCCTCTGCTCTACAACATCACTCAGGTGGTCATCCTGTCCGCGGTGTCCGGCGTCATCAGTGACCTGCTGGGCTTCAACCTCAAGGTACTGCTGCACACACACACACACACACTCTCTTACACTGCTCTGCTAACCGGCTCTCTCTCTCTCTCTCTCTGTGTGTTTCAGCTGTGGAAGATTAAGTCATGACGCTGCGGTGTGTGTGTGTGTGTGTGTGTGTGTGTGTGCCTCCGCACCGCCGCCGCTCCATCAGTTCTGTGCAATCACATATTTATTTACCTGTCAGTGTTTTACTCTCGAGTGTTGGGTTAGCTGTTACAGTTTAGCTGGACGTGACGTTCTCATAGGAAGATGATCAGCAGTGCGCACACACAAACACACACACACACACACACACACACACACACACAGTCTGCTGCACTCAAGGGTTACTGAAAGGAGAGATGAAGGACTAAGAGGACCCAGAGATTATGGATTCATAATTCATGGACACACACACACACACACACACACACACACACACACACACAGGAACTGCTGTTTTGCAACTGTCTGTGTTTTCATTGGTTGGCAGAGGTCAGCTGACTCCCCTTTTGCTCTGGGTGTTCTCAGCAATAATGTTTCTGTAACACACACACACACACACACACACACACACACACACTCCATCGCTCTGCTTAAGTGTGTGTGTGGTGAGCAGGTGAAAGCCTCAATAATGTGCACTTTAAAGCAGAGATGTTGCGTCTGAAGCGTCGTGCCGCGCGGGGGTGTGTGTGTGTGTTCTGTACGCGCGGCGGGACGCACATGACCAAAGTGTTTGTTAGTTAGTTACTGATGATGATGATGATGATGATGATGATGATGATGAATGTATCGGGGACTCTGTCTGTTACGTTTATACGTGTGTTTCTGTCTGCTCTGCTGTGGAATCTCCTGTTACAGTGTAAACACTATCTGAGCGTGTGTGTGTCAGGTGTGTGACGGTACGACAGAGCTGTGTGTCACTGTTCAACATGCTGGAGGAAATAAAGCTCATCAAACCGTCCACAGTGCAGACATTCAGCAGACATTCAGCACATACGGGGACATACGAGCAGTTCCTGACCCTGAGATCACACACACACACACACACACACACACACACACACACACACACACAGAGTAATGATCAGTAATCAGCAGTGGTTCAGCTCCTCTGTGTCAGGGTTTGCTTTATTTCCTCATGAGTGTTCATCTCTGCACATCAGTAGAGGAGAGCAGTGATCACGCTGGACATCAGCTCTACAGCAGCGCAGGTCAGTCACACACACACACACACACACACACATCACAGTCTCGCATTCCTCTGATGATGATGATGATGAAGACTCGTCATGTGTTTGAGCAGTCCTGATGTGTGACGAGTGGTGTGTGTGTGTGTGTGTGTGTGTGTGTGTGTTCCTCCAGAGCAGTGGTGTCAGCGGCGTCTCCCAGCACAGCCACACACTCGCCTCTGCTGCTCTCCTGTGTGTGTGTGTCATTACTGACACCGTCACCATAGTGATGACAGCCAATCACGTCCGGCCTGGACCGCGACACACACGGGTGCAGCAGCAGCAGCGGTGTGTACAGATGTACATAAAGGCTGGTCAGGAGATTACCATGCTGCTACTCTCTGCTGCTGCTCAAATGTGATTGGCTAGCTCCTGTACTAGTATTTGCATAAAGCGATCTGATTGGATGACAGTTAACCGTACCTCAACATACCCCCAATTCAGTTGGGCAACACTTGACGTCACTCTTCTGAAACAGGAGATGTAATCACAGACCCCCCCCCCTCCCTCCCCCCTCCCTGATCAGTGTGCCGCTGTGTGCTGTTCTGCATTTACTGCCATCCAGCCGCAGTAATACCACAGTAAAATAATTCAGCCGCAGTAATACCAGAGGAAAATAACTCAATCTAAACCCGCTACAACAGCCAATGAGGAGTGTTCATCATCTGAGGAGGATGCTGCAGTTCTGCGCTCAGATACTTCAGTGTGTTCAATCAGACTCTGTGCAAAAATGACACCAGGAGCCCTGAGGGACAGGCAGTGCAGTCTAGGGGGCGCTCTCAGGGGTTAGTGGTGTCAGCAGGGGCTAGTGGGTCTAGAAAAGGTGGGAGGGTCAATGGGTCTTCAGGGGTTCAGTTGGGGTAAGGAGGATCATTCGGGGTGTGGGGGTGTCAGCGGGGGTGGGAGGACAGTTGGAATGAGATTGGTCAGTGAGGCTCTAGGGATCAATGGGGACAGTGGGGTTCAGTCAATGGGGGTAGGGGGAGACAATGTTTTCACTGGGGGTAGGGGGAGACAGTGTTGTCAAGGGGGGGTAGGGGGAGTCAATGGGGTTAGGGGGAGACAGTGTTGTCAGTGGGGGTAGGGGGAGACAATGTTGTCAGTGGGGGTAGGGGGAGTCAATGTTGTCAGTGGGGGTAGGGGGAGACAGTGTTGTCAGTGGGGGTAGGGGGAGACAGTGTTGTCAGTGGGGGGGTAGGGGGAGTCAATGGGGTTAGGGGGAGACAGTGTTGTCAGTGGGGGTAGGGGGAGACAATGTTGTCAGTGGGGGTAGGGGGAGACAGTGTTGTCAGTGGGGGGGTAGGGGGAGTCAATGGGGTTAGGGGGAGACAGTGTTGTCAGTGGGGGTAGGGGGAGACAATGTTGTCAGTGGGGGTAGGGGAGACAGTGTTGTCAGTGGGGGTAGGGGGAGACAATGTTGTCAGTGGGGGTAGGGGAGACAGTGTTGTCAAGGGGGGGTAGGGGGAGTCAATGGGGTTAGGGGGAGACAGTGTTGTCAGTGGGGTTAGGGGGAGACAGTGTTGTCAGTGGGGTTAGGGGGAGACAGTGTTGTCAGTGGGGTTAGGGGGAGACAGTGTTGTCAGTGGGGTTAGGGGGAGACAGTGTTGTCAGTGGGGTTAGGGGGAGACAGTGTTGTCAGTGGGGTTAGGGGGAGACAGTGTTGTCAGTGGGGTTAGGGGGAGACAGTGTTGTCAGTGGGGTTAGGGGGAGACAGTGTTGTCAAGGGGGGTAGGGAGAGACAGTGGGCTCCTGGTCAGGGTGGGTCAGTGAGTCAGGCCACACTCTCGCCCCCCTCACTGTCCTCAGGTGAGCCAGAGCACCGTTTGAAGTCGATGAAGATTCCTTCCATGTCAGAATCCGGGGCCTCCAGGGTCTGCTCCGCTGTGGGCTCCGGGCTGTAGGAGGCGCCCCTGGGGCCACGCTGTGGAAGTAATGGTGGAGATGGAGCCGGGAGGAGCTCATCCTCACACACTTCAACTGGCTCCTCCGCGCAGGATGTCATCTGGCAGACGGAGTGACGTCGCACACACACACTCGCCCCTGTGCTGCTCTCACACTCGTACTCCGCCACCGGAGTCAGCAGCGGCACGTTATAACTCTGAGAGCGAACCACTGGGTGTTTAGCTGGAGCGGGGCTTCCGCGGGGCCGGTGGAGTAGCAGACGCTTCTCTGATGAGGAGGAGGAGCACAGCGGGGAGTGAGTGTGTGTGTGAGAGAGAGAGAGAGAGAGAGAAAGTGTGTGTGTGTGTGTGTGTGCTCACCCAGTACGCAGCAGCAGTGTGTGAGCGTGCCGTCGCTGCAGTAGAGTCCGTGTGTGCTCAGGTATGGTGACACCACCCTCTGCAGCAGCGCCTCCAGCTTCAGGTAATCTCCGCTCACACCTTTACACTCGTGCACACCCTGAGGCCAGCAGCCAATCAGAACACAGACTCAGTCAGACAGGTGAGCTTCCCTCTACACCTGCAGCGTCAGGACTAACCTGATGCAGATACCGGAGCGTTGTGTAATCAACTCACACACACACACACACACACACACACACACACACACCTGCAGCACCAGCAGCATCTGTGTAATGGAGGGTGGTATGCGTGCACGCGGCCGGCTCAAAGCCTCCTCCAGCTTCATGTTGAGGGTGATGATGTTCCTGAAGTGCAGGAGAGCCAGCTGACGCACCGACGGCTCCTTACCCTACACACACACACACACACACACACACACACGAATCATATATACATCATACACGCATGCAAATCCCACACACAGCCAGTGCAGCCGGCGGGCCCCGAGTGCACTAACTGAGGGTGGTGATGGTGTTGATCATGCAGTAGTGTACTAGCGGCGGCTGCAGGACACGAGGCCACCGCAACAGCAGCAGCAGCACGCTCAATCACAGCACAGCACACGGCTCTCTGCAGCAGAGACAACAAGAGAACAGAGGAGAGGAAAAGCAAGATGGAGGTAAAATGAGGAAAGGAAGATGAACTGTAGGCGTCTGCAAGCTAACACATCATGTCTGACAACGAACAAGAAATCTGTGTAGAAAAGCTTCTTAACTGCAGATATGCACATGAGTGGACTACACACACACACACTCTGAGCGAGAGCAGCAGCTGTGAGGTCATTGTAAGTGTTGATCTCTACTCTTCTGTTTGGCGCCATCTTGTGACTGATGCTGCTGCAGTCTGCATTCAGCCGGTGTTTCTGTCAGCCGTAAGTGCACCTCAGATTAATGTTTGTGTCTGATTGTGTAGTTTTTGTGGCCGGTAACAGTCGGGAACACACAGGCAGCTGTGTCTGCAGGGTAACATGCAGCAGCACAGCAGACCAAAGCAGAGGTGTGTGTTCAGATATAGTGTGTGTGAATGATCAAGCACTGATGAATATTCGCCATACCGGCTCCACCACTGCACTGAGCGGCGCTGCTGTACCTGCACAGGGTAGAAGATGGCCTGCAGAGTGGACAGAACATCACAGAAGAAGAAATCCCAGGTTTCTGCCAGAGAATCCAACAGCTTCTGACCTTCAAGCACACACACACACACACACACACACAAATATACACAGATTAGTGTAGCTGCACAAGGCCATTTTGCATCTGTAAAATTTATCAAAGGGTTATTCAATCATTCAGCTCAGTGTTCTGTGTGTGTAACAGTGTAGTTGAGGTGTGTAACACTGTAGTTGAGGTGTGTAACACTGTAGTTGAGGTGTGTAACAGTGTAGTTGAGGTGTGTAACACTGTAGTTGAGGTGTGTGACAGTGTAGTTTAGGTGTGTGACAGTGTAGTTGAGGTGTGTGAAAGTGTAGTTGAGGTGTGTGACAGTGTAGTTGAGGTGTGTGACAGTGTAGTTGAGGTGTGTAACAGTGTAGTTGAGGTGTGTAACACTGTAGTTGAGGTGTGTGAAAGTGTAGTTGAGGTGTGTGACACTGTAGTTGAGGTGTGTGAAAGTGTAGTTGAGGTGTGTGACAGTGTAGTTGAGGTGTGTGACAGTGTAGTTGAGGTGTGTGACAGTGTAGTTGAGGTGTGTATTAGTGTAGTTGAGGTGTGTAACGGTGTAGTTGAGGTGTGTAACGGTGTAGTTGAGGTGTGTATTAGTGTAGTTGAGGTGTGTAACGGTGTAGTTGAGGTGTGTAACGGTGTAGTTGAGGTGTGTATTAGTGTAGTTGAGGTGTGTAACACTGTAGTTGAGGTGTGTATTAGTGTAGTTGAGGTGTGTAACGGTGTAGTTGAGGTGTGTAACGGTGTAGTTGAGGTGTGTATTAGTGTAGTTGAGGTGTGTATTAGTGTAGTTGAGGTGTGTAACAGTGTAGTTGAGGTGTGTATTAGTGTAGTTGAGGTGTGTAACACTGTAGTTGAGGTGTGTGAAAGTGTAGTTGAGGTGTGTGACAGTGTAGTTGAGGTGTGTAACAGTGTAGTTGAGGTGTGTGACAGTGTAGTTGAGGTGTGTATTAGTGTAGTTGAGGTGTGTATTAGTGTAGTTGAGGTGTGTAACACTGTAGTTGAGGTGTGTGAAAGTGTAGTTGAGGTGTGTGACAGTGTAGTTGAGGTGTGTAACAGTGTAGTTGAGGTGTGTGACAGTGTAGTTGAGGTGTGTGACAGTGTAGTTGAGGTGTGTATCAGTGTAGTTGAGGTGTGTAACAGTGTAGTTGAGGTGTGTATTAGTGTAGTTGAGGTGTGTAACGGTGTAGTTGAGGTGTGTATCAGTGTAGTTGAGGTGTGTAACAGTGTAGTTGAGGTGTGTAACAGTGTAGTTGAGGTGTGTAACAGTGTAGTTGAGGTGTGTGACAGTGTAGTTGAGGTGTGTAACAGTGTAGTTGAGGTGTCTATTAGTGTAGTTGAGGTGTGTAACTGTGTAGTTGAGGTGTGTAACGGTGTAGTTGAAGTGTGTAACGGTGTAGTTGAGGTGTGTAACGGTGTAGTTTAGGTGTGTGACAGTGTAGTTGAGGTGTGTAACGGTGTAGTTGAGGTGTGTAACGGTGTAGTTTAGGTGTGTGACAGTGTAGTTGAGGTGTGTAGTAATCAGCATAATGTAGATCCAGCCAGTGGTTAATCAGAATAACTCTTCAGTCTTCTACAGCGGTGGCTGATGGACCTGGCGTGCTCTGTTCTGGGATCAGCACCGGCTGGATCTGCATTATCTCTTACATGAATGTGAGTATCTACACGGGTGTGAACAGGACACATGCAGCTCAGGAAGCAGCTACCTTCATAAAAGCGGATCTTATCTCTCAGAATCACCATTCCCTTGGTCAGCAGCTGATTCTATGGCACACACACACACACACACACATACACACACACACACACACACACACACACAGAGAGAGATCATTTAAAGCCGATAAATCATGTTGTGCTTCCTCTACATGTGTCTCACAGGAACACAGGGCTCCATAAGTAAACAATGATAATGCATATAGTCTGCTGCACACACAGTCTATATTCTGACTGTACACACACACACACACACACACACACAATAACTGATCAGGGGTGATCAATACCTGCAGATACTCTGTGAAGAATGAGCCCAACTCTGTCTTCAGGAGCTGCCTGCAGACAAAGATGACAGAGAGACTGAGTGTGTGTGTGTGTGTGTTTATGGTAATCAGGCACAGATCTGTGCTCTAGAACTGCTCTGATTGGCCGGTTGCTCACCTGACGCCTTCATTCAGCACATACAGCTCATTCTGTGCCAGATCCCTGCGCTGGAACACCGAGATCACCGCATTGTGGATGCTGACACACACACACACACACACACACACACACACACATATACACATGCATAAACCACACACACACACACACACACACACACACATATACACATGCATAAACCACACACACACACACACACACACACACACACATATATACATATGTATAAACCACAGGTACAAAGATGCATGAACCGTGCATGCACACACATGTATGCACTACACACACACACACACACACACTCATTAAGGTTTCTTTCAGGCTGGATTAATATTTCAATTTAGATTCATAAAAAAGTATGTGTGTGTGTGTGTGTGTGTGTGAGAGAGAGACATGAAAACAACTGAACTAAAGTGAAAGACTGACTGCTCCATCAGCTGAACATGAGCACACACACACACACACAGAGATATCAAACACTTATTGTTCTCCAGTGTGCGTGTGTGTGTGTGTGTGTGTGTGTGTAAGCACAGAAACAGAGGATTCTCTTCACACAAACTAATGAGGGCTGAATATGTGTGTTTGTTGTTTACACACATATTTGGGCCACACACACACACACACACACACACACACAAGCTAGCAGAGGAAGCTGGTCCTGCAGGAATTTCTCCTCAGATGATGAAAAAACAAAACAAATGATCATTCAGAACAGCTTCATGTGTGTGTGTGTGTGTGTGTGTGTGTGTGTGTGTGTGTGTGTGTGTTTCAGTCTAGGCGCACAGTGGAATGTTACTGTGACTTAATATTAAAATAGCATTATTTATTAGGGTTTGGACACACACACACACACACACACACATGCAGTTTAGCAGTCACTGTAACTGCTGTGCGTGTGTGTGTGCGTCTGTGTGTGTGTGTAGAAATGGAGAAAAGCTCCTGATGCTGATTTCAGCTCCTCGATTATTTACAGCAGATGAAGATGAGCACACAGAGGACAACTAGCAGTGTGTGTGTGTGTGTGTGTGTGTGTGTGTGTGTGTGTGTGTACCTGTTCCAGGTGGCGTTGGTTCCCGCTCTCTGCTGCTGCTGGTTGTTCCTGTCGTCCAGCGCTGATCTCTCGGACCGACCCGAATCATTCAGACTGGGAGAACTCATCAACGACAGTCTGTGGAGCGTCCTCATCACACACACACACACACACACACAATACAACACGCGCACAGCTGTTAGAGAGCTGCACGAGGGAAAGCACAGCGCTGTCTCTTTCACTTCTACTCTGTCTCTGTGTGTGTGTGTGTGTGTGTGTGTGTGTGTGTGTGTGTGTGTGTGTGTGTGTGTGTGGTTAGAGGAGGTGCTCAGTGACACAATGAGCATGAAACAACCACTTCCCTTCTGACACACTTGCGCGCACAAACACACACACACACAATATCACCAGAAGAAGAGCTGAACACCTCTGGAGGACACACTCCGTCAGCAGAGCAGAAAGCAGACACACACACACACACACACACACTTCTACTCACTCCAGCAGGTGAACGGGCACGTAATAATCCCACTCCATGACTAGACCAGCTTCACTAAACACACACACCAGCAGCGCTAGCACTTCCTGTCTGACCGTCAGCCGCTGCGCCGGACTGGTGGAGGGATCATGGAAGTGAAACACACACACACACACACACACACACACACGGCTCTCCTACAGCTGTAATGGTGCTCTGCTGCTGCTGGGTCTGGTTCTGCTGCTGGGTCTGGTTCTGCTGCTGGGTCTGGTTCTGCTGCTGGGTCTGGTTCTCCAGGGTGTGTTCTGCTGGAGCTTCAGCTCGGTGTACACCTGACCCGCTTCTGCACAGTGTAAAGCGCTGCAGAACTCAATGTGCTGCTTCTCCAATGGATGAGGAGTGGCCTGCACAGAGCCCTGACCTCCACCCGCAGAGCTGGCTTCCTCCAGCATCAGAGCCTCACGGCAGCACTTTAGCAGAATGTTCAGGAATCCCCATGAACACACCCTGCGGAGCCTCCAGCACACGGTGGACCGCTCCAGATCAACCCGCAGAGGAGCACGGCGCCCCCTACTGAGGGAGGACTGCAGATGTCTGAACTCTCCTGAACCAGAGGCATGATGAGCTGCAGCGTCGCTCCAGAAACCACGAGTCCGACTGAAGAGAGCTTCTGCCTAAAACCAGCGCAAGAATCAGCCAATGAGGACGCAGAATAAGCCGGCTTCATCTCCACCTAACATCAGCTCCCTCAGCGCACCGCTGCAGTACTCCGCTTGCTGTGATGAGACGCTCTCGTCAGTTCTGGAACAAACAGCAGTACTCCTGTGCAGTGATGATGCAGCTGATGAAGAGGCACAACACTACTCAACAAAGCGGATATATCACATATAATATAATGTAATATATGTGTACTTCATGCATATTGAACACATCTAACTGCATGCTGGAGCTCAGCCAACATCTCAGCGGTCAGGGCAGCTTCAGTGCTGAACATTTCTCCAATGTTTTACTTACAGGTCGCCATTTATATTAGCACTGACCCTCATGATACAGCAGCCATTACTACAGTTACACTCTCATCCCCATCACACACACACACACACACACACACGCACACGCACACACACACGCACGTGCGCGCCCTTCAGTATGAGAGCAGAAGCGGAACTCTAGCGCCACCTGCTGGATCACCGCATCCAGTCCAACATCCCAGCCCGCTCCAGACCCTACAGTAAACTCAGAGAAACTCCGCGGTGAATAAACACACCTGAGGTTACCTGTAGAAGGTCTCTCTCTCTCTCTCTCTCTGAAGCCCCCTACATATGAACACTGCAGGAGGGAAATTACAGGTAACCCGAGCTGAGAGCCTCAGAGGAGCCCGTGGAGGATGAGTGGACATCATGAAGCCGGACTTTGCACTGTGATATCGCGGAGTCTGACCTCACACGGGTAAAACACCGAATATCGATCAATAAGCGAGTTATCAATATGCGCGTTCATGAGTGCACACAGAACAGCGCTTTCCTCAGTTCATTATGTTCCCGTCCATCATTCATTAACTCACTTCACCTGCAGCTACAGGTGAGTCAAACAAACTCTCAAGGACACAAAGACAAACAGAGCCTTCAGAATGAAGGAGTGAAAGCCAAAAGCAGCGTCTTGAAGACGGAGAGAGCCGATGAAGCTGCTCAGGTGAAGTGAACTCACCGTGTGTGTCTGCAGCTGAGCTGGGGAAACTCCCGCCTGTCTCTGGAGGAGCTCGAGTTTGGTCGTCTCTTGTGTTTTACGCGCACAGGGAATTATTCCTACAAGTTTTACAGTACATTTAATCCACTTTCGCGATGTTTGATTCGCGTCTCCGCGTGCGTCTCTCCCTCTACAGCGTGTGCGCGCATCTGAGCGTGTGCACGAGGAAAGCGCGAGCCCGCGGGAATACAATCGCAGCGTACAGCGTCGATCCAACAGAGATTACACAACATTTATACAGTAAACAACAGATCATTGTAAATTTATTCCGTCAGTAAAATAATAATATAAAAGCAGCACGACGCGATGCTGAACACACAGTACAGGTGAGTGTGTACCTGAGCAGAGGCAGGAGAGTCTCCAGCACAGATCAATACAGTGACTATGAGCTGATCCGCCCAACACTGAGCGAGTGACGGTACTGTAGTACACACACAGGGTCTCTGTGGTCAGAAACACCACACACACACACACACACACACACACACACACACACACACACACACACACACACACACACACACACACACACACACACACACCTCTGTGCAGTAAGTACTGTAGTAAATATATTAGTCATCAGTGCAGCTTTACTGACATTTATAAACACAACTGTAATACTGTAAAACACGAGAAACCAGAACAATAAGAGCTCCTCTAGTAAATGAGTTGATCAGACCTAATGGCTGTTACTGAAATCACACACACACACACACACACACACAGACACACACACAACACCTTGAAATACCAAAAAAAAAAAAAAAAACAGCTTTTTTTGACAGAGTTGTACTTCTGTCCAGCCTTGAGACGCATCTGCTTCTGACTCAAACACACACACACACACACACACCTTCATCTGCTGGACGGCTCAGACTCAGTTTCTCTCCTGTGTTTCCAAAACAGCACTGAAGAAACCCTCAAACAGCCCATATTTCTCCAAACAACCCAGACCATATCTAATGCAGGAGCAAACAGACTCAGCTCGACCCTGAAGATCAGAGTGAGCGCACACACACACACACACACACACACACAGTACTGCAGGCCCATGACTGGATGTGAAGGAGAGAGAAGTGTTTGAATGTTAATATTTGATAAAAGCACGCACACTTACGCACACACACACGCACACACACACGCACACACACACGCACACATGCACACACGCATCAGTGTGTGTCCAGCATGGAGGAGCTGAGCTGAAATGAAGACTCAGAGACGGGAGGCGGTGTGAAGGGTGATTTAATGTCCTGAAGAGCGGCCGGTGCTGACACATGCAGCATCATCAGCTCTGCCGGAGCTCAGTCCGACTGTTTCTGCTCATCAACATCTGCACTAGTCTAGAGTGAAGGCTGGACACTGGAGAGCAGTGCAGAGCGATCAGCTGATCCTCCAGAGCGCTGCCGTGTCTCACACCCCTCCGACTGCGCGTGATTCCCAGAACACCTTCAGCACTCGGAGTCTCTGCAGGAGGTCTGTGTGTTAATGAGCAGCTCCGACAGCCAATGAGGAGAGTGTGGGGCGGGGCTATGGGTCTGACTGAGGCATAGCACACTTCAGCAGTTGGACACTGAGGGAACAGCGAGCGGCATCAGTCAGAGCTCCTTCATTCAGTCAGCGTGACGTGCACCTCCACATGCGGCCCGCCGCTCCTCTTCTCACTGGTGTGTGTGCGCGTGTGGCTGCGCAGCCGGCTGGCGCTGCTGTAGGCTTTGGGGCAGTACCTGCAGGCGTGCGGCCGCGGGCCGGAGTGTGTGCGACGGTGTCGGGCCAGCTCAGAGGAGCTGCGGAAGCGGCGAGGGCAGGCGGTGCAGGGAAACGGCCGCTCGCCGGTGTGTGTGCGCTCGTGCAGCGCCAGCTCCGTGGAGGTCAAGAAGGTGCGCTCGCAGTGGGCACAGGAGAAGGGTCGCTCGCCCGTGTGGATCAGGTGGTGTCTGTTCAGAGCGAACGGCTTGGCGAACATCTTGCCGCAGTACCGGCAGGGGTACGGACGCACGCCGGTGTGGGCCAGCATGTGCTCCTGCAGCGCCCGCTTGTACTTGAAGCTCTTCGGGCACTGCGGGCAGGTGTGCGGCCGATCCTCCGCATGCGTCTTGTCGTGTTTGAGCAGCTCTCCGAGCGACAGGAAGCGTTTGCCGCACTGCGAGCACAGGTACGGCCGCTCGCCGGTGTGCATGCGCTGGTGCCGCAGCAGGATGGACAGCTGCGTGAAGCTCTTGCCGCAGACGGTGCAGCAGTGCGGCCGCTCCCCTGTGTGCGTGGCCTGGTGCTTCAGCAGGCCGGAGCGCAGCCCGAAGCTCTTCCCGCAGACGGTGCAGTGGTGTGGCCGCTCGCCGCTGTGGCTCAGCTGGTGCCGCCGGACGTCACTGCTGCGCGTGAAGCTCTTGGGGCACTGCGGGCACTGGTGCCGCTGGCGGGGGCGGTGGCTCTGGCGGTGCAGGGAGCGCTGCAGCAGCGTGTCGAAGGCTTCTCCGCACTGCGGGCAGCGGTACAGCTGCGCGGCACTGTGGCTGCGGCGGTGCTGTGCGAGTGCGCTCGGACTGCCGGCGGTCTCTCCGCAGATGGAGCAGTAATGCGGCACCGCGCCACCGTGGCTCTGCTTGTGATGCGCCGTCAACAGCCGCAGGTTAGTGAAGTCGCTCTGGCAGACACTGCAGCTGAAGCGCGCCTCGCCGTGCTGCTTCCGGCAGTGTTTGCTCAGGTCCCAGGAGTGCTGGAAGGTCTTCTGGCACTGGCCGCAGTGGAAGGGCCGCTCGCCGGTGTGTGTGAGCTGGTGCCGCTGCACGTCCGAGCGCCGCGTGAACTTGCGGCCGCAGATGTCGCAGGCATAGCGAGCGCGAGGGTTAGCGGCGACCGGCGGGGCGGCTTTACTGCTCCTCCGAGTGCGGCAGGAAGCAGACGAGGGTTCAGAAGTGGCTAAAGGAGCTGCAGGATCAGCACACCCCTCTGAAACACACACACACACACACACATTAATATCTGTTTCTGCAGTCAGTGCTCAGTCACATGTACGCTAGTCACACCAACCGACCAATCACAGCACACCATCACAGCATTACCTCTATCCTGTCCATGAGGTGCGCCGGCTCTCCTAAAATACACAAACACATGAGGACATGATGAGGACTCACACCAGATGTGTGTGTGTGTGTGTGTGTGTGTGTGTGCAAAGACTCACAGCTCCTCCGCTGCTCCTCCTCCTGTTTTCCCCATTGGCTCTGTGCTCTTCCTCTGCCGTCCTCGCCCCCTCCGCCCCAAGGGCTTCTGGGTAATATCTGTCTGGCCCAGGGGTTTCTGGGTAATGTCTGTCTGCCCTGGGGGCTTCTGGGTAATGTCAGTCTGCCCCGGAAGCTTCTGGGTAATGTGCGTGTGCTCCTGTGGAGGGTGTTGGGCGCAGTGGGGCGGTGGGTCAGTGTTGTTCTGTTGTGGGGGCGGTGGGTCGTTGTTGTTCTGCTGTAGGGGCGGTGGGTCGGTGTTGTTCTGTTGTGGGGGCGGTGGGTCGGTGTTGTTCTGCTGTGGGGGCGGCGGGTCGGTGTTGTTCTGCTGTGGGGGCGGCGGGTCGGTGTTGTTCTGCTGTGGGGGCGGTGGGTCGGTGTTGTTCTGCTGTGGGGGCGGCGGGTCGGTGTTGTTCTGCTGTGGGGGCGGTGGGTCGGTGTTGTTCTGCTGTGGGGGCGGTGGGTCGGTGTTGTTCTGCTGTGGGGGCGGCGGGTCGGTGTTGTTCTGCTGTGGGGGCGGTGGGTTAGTGCAGCTGTGCTGTTCAGCTGTAGGCTCCTGCTCCTCCCCCCCTGACTCCTCCTCCTGCATTGGCTCCATCAGCTCCTCCGTCAGCTCCACCTCGGTGTAGTCAGTGACGATGATGGTGTCGGAGCTCAGAATGGTGACTGCGGCGGGCTGCACATGCAGCAGCAGCGGCTCTGAGGACACACACATGCGCGCAGACGGCGGCACGGAGAGGGACGACACGATACACTCGCCTGAGGACCGGGAACCTGAGGACAGAAGACACACACACACACACACACACACACACACACACTTGAATAAACTGAATCTGAACACACAGCAGAGTGTTGCGTGACTCAAACACACACTGATGTGCAGCTCTGGGTCACTCATACTCAGGCCTCCACCACATCTGCTAATGAGTCACACTCACACACACACACACACACACACACTCACATACACACATACACACACACACACACACACACACACACACACACACACACACAGTGTTTGTTACCCAGTTTTCCTTTGGGTGTTTCTGAGCCGCTGAACAGCTGATGGTTCTGCAGAAGAAGCTGCAGGTGCTTTGAGTCGATGCGCACACACTCCTCCAGACCCACAGGGGCAGCGCTGAGCCACGACACCGTCTGACACACACAAGCACACACACACGCAGAGCTTCAGTCTGTTGCATGTTGTCCTCAATGCTCTGCTGTTATTATTCTGTATTTAATAATAATGTGTCGGGCAGTAGCGCTGCTACAAGTAGTGATGCTAATACCTTAACTGCATTTCTCAGTAGTGTGGCGGCAGCGTCGCTACTTTCTAAATCGAATAGCTTTTCAGTAGCGAAGCGATTTTACTAGTCAAGTAGTGCAGTAGCGTCCACACAAGCTGCATTTACCAATCGCGAGTCAACGTTACAGCACCGACATTCACAGAGCCGTGAGGCCGGCGTCTAGCTGACGACAGTGAACACACATGATGGTGCGAGTGAGGAGCTCCTCCTGTTCTACGGTGGTCAACTACACAGTTTTAATGCGCTACCGCCACCTCTGGTGAAACGTGCTTGATGGAAAGATGACTTGGATGTAGCTGAACTACTGTTGCCGTGCAGCTCTTAGCTTAGCTTGCTACATTACCCCGGCGGAAGCTTTGTGTGTAGGAGGAGTAGCTAATAGCTTAGCTTGCTACATTTGTCAAGTAGCTGAATAAACAAAGACAGAAGAGACGGCCGCATGTGTTTAGTGTTGCCTGATGTCGGGCGCAGCAGTGGTCTGCTGGTGTTTGCTTTGGCCTGTTCAGGGTTCTGGGAGAGACCGCTGTAGACTGATGGCATTTCCTGCTGTTCAGCAGCATCAGCTGTTCTGTCATCAGCTGTTCGCCAGCTCTACTGCGGTGTTGCTGGATGAGCAGCGGCTTCTGCTGTCAGCTGCAGATGTGAAGGAACGGCGGAGGAAAGTAGTTCCTCATGCAGAAGTGTTTAAACTCTGCGTGTGTGTGTGTGTGTGTGTGTGTGTGTGTGTGTGTGTGTCCTACCTGTCTGAACTCCGGCACAGGAAGTAGTTTCTCCAGGCAGGACAGCAGCTCCCACATCAGCTCCTTCAGCGCCGTGTCGAACCGGTCGCCGTACTCCACAGGAAACACTTCCTGTGAGAAGCAGATAGACAGGAAGTTCACACATACACACACACACACACACACACACACACGGGAGGCGGAGCAGGAAGCTGGCGTCTCTGACCTGGAAGAAGTAGGCTTTCTCCACCGGGTCCTTCAGCAGCGCCGAGACCAGAGCCTTAAAATTAGAGACGGAGGCCCACAGGTCAGCATCCGGACCCTGCGCACGCACACGCACACACACACACACACACACACACGCACGCACCCACACACACACACGGTTATAGTGTGTGTACAGTAATGAATGGGTTAGGTGTGTATGAGACGCAGAGGCGCGCACACACACACACACACACACACAGGTGTAGAGCAGGTGTCAGTACCGTGTGTCCCGCCGGTGCCGCTGGAATCTGCATCCGGTCCAGCTGCGTCTGCATGATCCTGCTGTCAGCCGCACCACGACACAGCTCCAGCACCATCTGACACACACACACACACACACACACACACACACACACACACACACACACTTGAATAAAGTGAGTCTGAACACACAGCAGACTGTTGCGTCAGTTTCACACACACACACACACATACACACTGACCCGAGCTCTGAGCCCCAGCATGAGCTGCACCCTCTGCCTGAAGGCCATGAGCTGCGGCAGCGCCTCCGTCAGCACACACACCAGCTCCTCCAGCTTCCCATAATGCACCAGGCTCTTGTGCTGCAGCACCTGCCACATGAAGGAGGACAGGAGGTGCAGCGGAGGAACCAGCAGACGCAGAGACGCCAGCGGCAGACACACACCTGCGCACACACACACACACACACACACACACACACTCAGCAGTTAGCAGTGTTGCATTTACAGTAGAGAGCTGTTCTGCACTCTGATTGGCTGATGCTCACTCTCAGCTGTTTGGTTATTGTCAGATAAACACACAGCTAAAGTAGTTCCGGCAGAGCGCATTACAGCTCAATATCACTCCGCTGAATGGTTAGAGTTTATACACACCTGACTAACACACACAAACACACAGACAGACAGACAGACAGACAGAGACACACACACACACACAACAGGGGTCCAGTAGAGCCGCTCAGCAAAGACTCGGTTCAGTTGAGTGAAGCGATTCTTCTTCTGACTCTGTCACGTTACTCCATCACACACACACACACACACACACACACCGCGCGTTTCTCTCTCATCACCTGAGATCTCGGCCAACTTCTCTTCCTCCATGGGGAATGTTGATGAAGAAGCTCCACTGACTGCGTTTCCTGGCGTACGTGACGTCACATCCGCTCTGACTCTGTCAAAATAAAAGCGAAGGAAACAAAATAGGGGTCTTCAGAGTGAACAGCTGACATCATCATGACTCAGAACTCTCCTCCTGTCACTTTACATATTAAAGTCTTTGAGGGAAACTGTGCAGTTAAAGAGGAATAATGTTAGAGGAGCTGACCGTGTGTGTGTGTCCTGATCTGCTCTCCTCCATCACACCTCCAGTCTCCTGCTCTCTGCATGTAATTAATATGTTATATATGATTATTTTGGCTCGTGTATAATTCAGTTCTGTACTGAAGCGCGTGTTATTGAGCATATTTCCATTTCTAATAAGCATTTTCATTAGGAAGACATATTTAAGCGGACTGTCAGAATATTGTCCGTGATCATATTCATGTTAACCGTCCAGATATGCGGCGCTCTGGCGTCATCTCGTGGCGACACTCAGGTATTGCAGGCGAGTCGCTGTATGAAACACTTTTTGGTTAAAACACTGCTGTTAAAATCAGCATAACTTCATCGAGTAATATCAAAAGTCAAGAGTGTATTATTTTGCCATACACATACATGTTTACCGCGTGTTAACCTTTTATTTAATCTTATATTTCCTCTATCGTGGCCGCGTGTGCGCTTCATGTGTCGTCCACAGGGCGGCGGTCATGCGCGGACTGCAGCATTATGGGGGATTGAGTTCAGTACAGCACTCGCGGCTATTATTGAAATAAATGTACAGCGAAGATGAAAATACAGATTAAATGTAAGAATAAAAATGAAATTAACAAATCAGATTAAACTATAGCAACTAAATCAATTAATTAACCCGTATGAGTGTGCATTAGTGAAGCTCATAAACATCTCAGTATAAAACACGCCGTATCTCTGGGTTATCTAAACACATGATTATTTTCCTCAAATCAAGAGTAAATGTAGACAAGAGAACATAATAGTGGAGAGTACATGTAAAATATACCTGTAATTGATAAGTAAAGTAATGCAGAAATAAATTATTTTAAATGGAATAATAATAATCACTATTATTATTATTAGTTTTTTATCAATTATTTCTTTATTAAGCTTTGATTAGCGAGTTTACATTTTAAATGATTAAATTTCTGCAAAGCGTTTAACAATACAGATCCGGAAGTGACAATCTCCTTCATTTCCGTCATAAGCATCTGAGTTTCGCTGATAAACCTCCACAGTCAGAGCTGCTGCGATTATATATGATGTTTATCGATGCTTTATGCTTTATTTGAAGCCGTCATCTCGCCGCATTTCAGCTTATTTATTTCAATAATCGCTTAGTTTAATACCCGCATGTGCTGTACTGAACTCAATCCCCCATAATGCTGCAGTCCGCGCATGCCCGCCGCCACGATAGAGGAAATATAAGTTGAAATAAAAGGTTAACACGCGGTAAACATGTATGTGTATGGCAAAATAATACACTCTTGACTTTTGCTATGACTCGATGACATTATGCTGACTTTAACAGCAGTGTTTTAACCATAAAGTGTTTCATACAGCGACTCGCCTGCAATACCTGAGTGTCGCCACGAGATGACGCCAGAGCGCCGTATATCTGGACTGCAGAGGGTTCATTAATATGACCGAGATCTCGAACAGCCTGACAGCAAGTTTACACTCATTCAGTGATTTGTTTTCATTATCACAATGTTGTGCATGTTCTCTCGTCTATTTCACTTTATTTGAAGACAATTTGCATAATTTGGTAAGAAAACACATTCACGTGTCGTTTAAACCTGCATGTGTTCATGTGTTGATTATGAGCTTGAGTAGTGTGCACTTGTTAGTGATGATCAACACTGCATGATCTGTAATTCCACTATGAGTATTACACTGTGTAGTAATCGGCGGCAGATGCGCTTCACGCGTTGTCCACAGGGAGGCGGTGCGGCGCTCTTCAGTTCAGCGAACACAGGAAGAGCAAGAATACCGGCGACAAATTAAAAGACCCATTAAACAGAACTGCGCTGACCCTGAGCTTTATCCCAACACTAAAACTGGACTCTTGAATATGCTTCTTATAATGTTCGGATGTCCAAAATCAACACAGACTGAATAATTTAAGCTGTTTTCAGCCTATTTTCTGTGACATGTTTTAATTAAACATTCTTTCTCTCGGATTTTCAGTCAGACTTAGGGAATTAAATCTGTTGTCTTCTTCTAGTTTTCTCTATATTGTTGATGATCACAGGAGACTTTTATTATGTCGGAGCGCGCGCTGGTTTCCGGCTTCACGCACGCGCGGCAGCAGCAGGCAGCATGGCGCCAGGAGGAAAGATCAACAAACCCAAAACCGTGAGTTCATCTGTGTGTGTGTGTGTGTGTGTGTGTGTGTGTGTGTGTGTGTGGTCACAACATGAATACAGGACACTAACCTGGACACAGATCTGTATAATGACATGGGTGTGACACAGGTATTATAGAAATGAGGTGAAATATGGGGACATTGGTGACGTCCTCATTTCTCAAAATGCTTATAAATCCCACAGGATGAGTTTAATCAGAGAGTAAAGCTGCACACTGACTCCTGTGATGGTTGGGGTTAGTGGTGGGGTGAGGGCAATACAATATACGGTTTGGACAGTATAAAATGTATGGAAACCTATGTAATGTCCCCACTTTTACCAAAAACAAACATGTGTGTGTGAGAGAGAGAGTGTGAGAGTGAGTGTGTGTGTGTGTGTGTGTGTGTACAGGTGTAAAGCTGTACTGCTGAATTCCGCCATTCTGTTTGTAATCAACACATACTGTTGATCATCACTGAGAGTGTGTGTGTGTGTGTGCGTGTGTGTGTGTGTGTGTGTGTGTGTGTGTGTGTGTGTGCGTGTGTGTGTGTGTGTGCGCAGGAGCTGGGCCGGAAGCTGTTCAAGAGGCGGAGAGTTCTGAGCCGAGAGAAGAGGCAGAAGAGGAAGATAGTGGGAGCGGTGATTGACAGAGACCTGATCACCAAACACCACCTGAAGAAGAGGAGGTGTGTGTGTTCACTGTGCACGCACACACACATGCACACACATGCACACACACACACACATCACTGCTGTCATCAGGGGTGTTCACCGACACCACACACACACACTCTCTCATCACATGTCTATCCGTGTGTGTGTGTGTGTGTGTGTGTGTGTGTGTGTGTGTGTGTGTGTAGCTCCAGCGCGCGGGCGAACATCACTCTCTCCGGGAAGAAGAGGAGGAAACTGATCAAGCAGCTGGCGCACATGGAGCGGGAGAAATGCGCCGCCGCAGCAGCAGGTGTGTGTGTGTGTGTGTGTGTGTGTTCTGGTTCAGTGTTCACAGATGATGATTGTGGAATAAAGGAGTGTGTTTCCTCATGTGTGTGTGTGTGGTCATCTCATCTCTGCTGTGTGTGTGTGTGTGTGTGTGTGTGTGTGTGTGTGTGTTTGTGTGTTTATAAGAGTTTCTGTTTTCAACACCTCAGCTGAAGATCACCACCATATTACACACACACACACACACACACACACACACACACATGAACTAGTCAAACATGCTTATATCAGCCGCTTCAATGTGTGTGTGTGTGTGTGTGTGTGTGTGTGTGTGTTCCACTGGGAGTCATTGTCATTATTATTATTATTATTATAGTCTGTCAGGGGTTCAGTGATGTCCAGAACTGTCAGCATTACAGTGTTTAATAATGACTCTCCATCAGCCTCTAAACACAGCTCATTCAGGAGATTTGGGGATATTGATATGATAATAATCCTCAGATTTGAGCAGTAGAGCAGTGCTTCTGTCTTCAGTGTGTTTGTTATCATTAATGTCTTCATCTGACTGCAGAAACAGCCCGGCCTTCTCCAGCTCCAGTCACACATCAGGCCGCGGGTGCGCTTCATGTGTCGTCCACAGGGCGGCGGGCATGCGCGGACTGCAGCATTATGGGGGATTGAGTTCAGCACAGCACTCGCGGCCAATAAACTAAGCGATTATTGAAATAAATAAGCTGAGATGACGGCTTCAATTAAAGCATAAAGCATCAATAAACATCATATATAATCGCAGCAGCTCTGACTGTGGAGGTTTATCAGTTATCTCTAATAAAGTGCGTCCAGCTGTGAGTCGGAAGTGTTGTTAGCTAGAAGGGAGGTTAACGAGAATTATTTATATTATGTTTTAAATTATCCATTAGATGTATTTTAATAACGTTTATCCCACTCCTAAACCCAAGCCTCACAGTGCCGTAAAAGCAGTAGTTATACCCAGTGTGTTTCATATTATTTATTAAATCACCCATTACATTGTGTTATTGACCCATCCCCTCACCGTGACGGTGAAATATTGATTATTGATGGACAGCGTCCTGTTGAAGATCCACTGACGTGAGTACCGCAGCTGTATCCCTTCTAGACTTGAGATGATGATGATGATGATGAGCGCGTCTCCCTCTAGCGGCGCCACAGCACTATCGCGCGCGCGCATCCACAACGCGCGCGTCACATTACGAGTTTATAGGAGAGAGATTGAACTTCCAGACGTGATTATTACAGCAGCAGAGGAATAAACAGCTCAATACTGATCATTTACTGCTCTGGAGCATCTGCTGCATCACTGACCAGCGCGCGCGCCCGTGTGTGTGTGTGGAGACAGCATCATCATCATCATCATCATCATCCAGCGGAGGACAAAGACACAGAAATGGGTCACAGCAGCGGCTGATCACAGGGTAGGTGATGGAGCTCACTCCGCCGCGCAGAATACCACAGAATATCCCTCGAGCTGAGGAGACCCTGTCTGCCTGTCTGTCTGTCTGTCTGTCTGTCTGTCTGTCTGTCTGTCGGTGTGATTTCTCGCTCGAGTTTCTGCGTTCAGGGTTTTGTCGACACACACACACACACACACACGCGGATAATAGCGGGGCACTGTGTGTTGATGCTCCACAGTGAGCGGGCTCTGTTCCTGCACTCTTTAGGCAGGATGCAGCGGGGTTTTGGCGGGGCTGATGGGGGTTTGGAGGTTTTTCTGTTTCATAAGAATTGCATCACGACGCGATGGCCCACACACACACACACACACACACGCCGGACAGTGATGCTCAGTCTCCATGGCGACCGGCAGCATCAGCACCAGCAGCTAAACGGAACATTCTGGAAAGTTTCACAGCGTTTCCTGAATATGAGGAGAAGTCAGCGCATGGCATTACTAATATCAGATGTACATGCTCAGATGAGGGCAGTGTGTGTGTGTGTGTGTGTGTGTGTGTGTGTTCAGCTGTGAGCTCTGATCATGATGTTTGGGAATGAAGTAGACTGTCAGCAGTGGTGGAGAGAGGACTGAACAGTCAGACTCAGGGAAAAGCAGCATTACTCGCCTGCAGAGGGAGCGCAGTCGAGTAACAGTGTCTGCTGTGAATATTACTCAGAGTATGAGTGAACAGTAGAGCTGTCAGAAGTGCTCAAGAGTACTGAGTATTGCACTGTATAACGCTGCTGTGTTTACATCTGATGTGTGTGTGTGTGTGTGTGTGTGTGTGTGTGTGTGTGTGTAAACGTAACATTCTGTAGTGCGTGTAGTGATTGTCCAGCAGGCACACATCGGCATCAGACATTAATATGAGGTCAGATTTAGGTTGTGATGTCAGGTGACCAAATTCAATGTCTAGCCAGCGTCTGAAGACAAGGATATTTCGATGTCCAATACTGACGTTGATATTTGGCTGATTAGAAAGTGACCAAAATCCAGCAGAGCCAACATCTTAAACCAGCATCATATTCACGTCAAACACTGACATTATTCATCAGGTCTGGCGACCAAAATCCAACATCTGATAGACATCATGGTGGTAACGTCCACACAACGCTGAGCTGTGGAATCAGACGCTGATATTTGGTTAGGTTTTAGTTGGACATTGGCCTGATGTTCTGACGTCAAACCCATTTTCATTTCCAAACAAAATGCAGCGTCCCCACAACGTTGGTGTACAGCATCAATCTGACGGCATGTTGAGGTCTTGTGCTGCTGGGTGTTTAAGGCCATTTCAGTCAGTCACACAGAGGCGTTGTTAGGGTACAGGCATGTGCACACATAGGGCTCAACCTGTGCAGTGCACATGCCCTTTTTAGTCTCGGATAGAAAGTGCCCTTCCAAAATGATCTGAAGTGCCCCAGTGACACCCCCCACCCCCATGGTCAACAGTTCTCGCGCGGTATCGTCACTGCAATGCAATGCAATGTCAGACCCAATGCACTCGATGGAGCGAGTGACGTCACTCGGGGTGGGGTTAGGTGAGAGCATTAAAAAGCTTCCTTCCAAAATAAAGACAATAAAGAAAATAATTATACACAAAATATTCCCTATCCACATTTAATACTTTCCAACCAACCATTCGCCACTACTCACACCTCCAACAACTCCCACCCTGCACTGAGCGCGAGTCCCTCTATTTATAGGAGCAGACATACGTGTATATACGCTATATAGCCCGCTATGGCTTCAACCGTTTGCCGGCGAGTGTATAATGTGTTTCTACATAAATCATTCATCAGGCGAGTTTTGCTCTTCTGTCTGAATACACTCTTGATTTGTACAGTACACATCCGCCGTCTCCTCATCAGGGACATCCTCTACAGTCTCTGGGTCAGTGTGTGTGTACAGTCTGCTGCAGTTATCAAGTGTTCGTGTGTTGAGGTGTTCAGTATGATGAGATTCACCTGTTGTGTGTGATCTGATTGGACAGGAATCACAGCACTGATTTCTCTAATCCTCCAATACAGCAGACTGAGGGACAGCAGAGTAACAGCACCGATACTGCAGTACACACGTGCTCAAAAGCACACGATTATAAGACTACTCAGTGCCTGAGGAAAACTACTCCATTACAGTAGTCTGTGTATTTATAATGAGCTGCTGTACACCACTGATGAGGCCAGAGAGACGCAGAGTTCCTCTAACGGCCACATCAACACTGAGGAGAGACCTGCTCAACACTGACTGATCAACATCATCAGCTACAGCACTGCTCAACCCTCACTGATCAGACTGAAGTTCAGTTTCTCAGACAGATCAATATCAGTGTGCAAAGGTCTCGCTCTCTCTCACACACACACACACACAGGCCCTGTGGTGACGGCGCTCTGCTGACAGTGTGAATGCTGTAGTCTGCTGTAGATCCTCTGGGTTGGGATCAGAGGTGAAGCTTTATGTGCTCTCTGATAAATGCTGCTCCACACGGGATCAAAGTTCGGTCAGGGTGTGTGTGTGTGGGTGTGTGTGTGAACTGTGGACCCCATTGACAGAGGAATCAGATGGAGATCAGCCTTCACACACACAGCATCGGTCAGTCGTGTCTCTGTCCTGTATTGCTGATCTTCAGTGGCAGATTGACTGTGATCATCACCTGCTGCTGTATTCTGCTGATGAGGTGTTCAACACAGCCTGTCTCCACTAATGTCTGCTGTGCTGGGTGATGGTGTGTGTGTGTGTGTGTGTGTGTGTGTGTGTGTGTGGCGAGCTCTTTGGACTCTGCAGATAAACCCTCGTCTGTGTCTCCACAGGTCTGTGAGCTCCGTCTTCTGCTTCTGTGTCTCCGTGGGTCATCATGCTGCTCAGGACCGTCCTGCTGCTGCTGACCCTCGCCCTGCAGGCCCGCAGTGGGGCGTCAGACGGCGACAGAGAGACCTGTTACTCTCGCCAGCACCGGGACGTGATGGTGAACGTGCGCGTGGCTCTGGAGCAGCAGGGGGCGCTGATGGTGCCGCGCGCCACCAACTCAGAGAAGGACTGCATCTTGAGCTGCTGCGCGGAGGATGTTAGTGCAGGTGAGCTGAAGATGATGAACCACTGACCATCACTGACCATCACTGACCACTGCTGAACCACTGACCGTCACTGACCATCACTGACCACTGCTGAACCACTGACCATCACTGACCATCACTGACCACTGCTGAACCACTGACCATCACTGACCATCACTGACCATCACTGACCATCACTGACCACTGCTGAACCACTGACCATCACTGACCACTGCTAATGCTGCGGGTCTAACCGCTCTGCTTCTCCTGCAGGTCTGAAGTGTAACCTGGTGGTGTTCAGGCCGGTGGGGGCCGAGGGTTCGATCTGTCAGCTGTTCCACTGCCCCACTGAGAAAGACTGTCCACTGATGACGGCCGCTGCTGGAGTCAACACATACAACATCTTCAAGGGTGAGCAGAACAACAGACACGGGCTGCGTGTAGACCTGACACCAAACGCCTCATAATGACTGTACAAGTGTGTGTGTGTGTGTGTGTGTGTGTGTGTAAGTACAGTATGAATAGAGCTGTGGTCTTCAGTTGTGTGTGTGTGTGTGTGTGTGTGTGTGTGTGTGTGTGTGTGTGTGTAAGTACAGTATGAATAGAGCTGTGGTCTTCAGTTGTTTGTGTGTGTGTGTGTGTGTGTGTGTGTGTGTGTGTGTGTGTGTGTGTGTGTGTGTGTGTGTGTGTGTGTGTGTGTGTGTGTGTTTGTGTGTGTAAGTACAGTATGAATAGAGCTGTGGTCTTCAGTTGTCTGTGTGTGTGTGTGTGTGTGTGTGTGTGTGTTTGTGTGTTTGTGTGTGTGTGTGTGTGTGTGTGTGTAAGTACAGTATGAATAGAGCTGTGGTCTTCAGTTGTCTGTGTGTGTGTGTGTGTGTGTGTGTGTGTGTGTGTGTGTGTGTGTTTGTGTGTGTGTGTGTGTGTGTGTGTGTGTAAGTACAGTATGAATAGAGCTGTGGTCTTCAGTTGTCTGTGTGTGTGTGTGTGTGTGTGTGTGTGTGTGTGTGTGTGTGTGTGTGTGTAAGTACAGTATGAATAGAGCTGTGGTCTTCAGTTGTGTGTCTGTGTGTGTGTGTGTGTGTGTGTGTCTGTGTGTGTGTGTGTGTGTGTGTGTGTTATGCTCTGGACTGAGCTCAGTCTTCATCTCTTCAGGTGTAACTCATCCAACAACTAAAGTCAGCGCAAGAACAACAGCCAGACCTGCAGCCAGCGCACACACACAAACCAGCACAACCACAACACACAGAACCACCAGCACAACCACAACCGGCACACGAGCAGCGATGACCACCACTGCAGAACCAGCAGAACCAGCATCAGCATCATCATCATCATCCTCCAGCAGCTCTGAGTTCAGCACAGAACCACAGACTGAGGAGCCGCTGATGCTCATGACCAACACACCACCCGCAGCCTCCACCTCCACCGTCACTACACCCACCTCCACCTCCAGCAGCAGAGCGCCGAGACCACCGCCCAAACCCAGCAGAGCCAGAAAACCCAGCAAACCCTCCAGACCAGACACACATCCAGCCAGAACCAGCAGACCCACACCAGCAGCACCACCCACAACACACACTCCACCACCCACAACACACACTCCACCAACTACATCCACAACACACACACCAGCAACAACAACACACACTCCAACTACCACAACTACAACACACACTCCACCAACTACATCCACAACACACACTCCACCACACACTGCTCCACCCACAAAAAAAACTCCACCAACTACATCCACAACACACACATCAGCAACTACAACACACACTTCAACTACAACAACTACGACTACAACAACTACAACACACACTTCACCAAGCACAACACACACTCCACCGGCCACTACTCCCCCCGGCAGCAGCAGCCCTGACGCCCCGTCCCCCTCTTCAGTTCTGCGGGTGGATGTCGGGGGGGTGCGTGCAGGCTCTCTGCCGGCCGGGTCCGTGGCTCTGCGTCCCCCAGTGCAGCCGGCCGTGTCCCGGGTGATGTGGAAGAACAGTCTGGTGGCCGTGGTGGTGGTCACGCTCATCTTCCTGCTGCTCATCTTGGCTCTGGTGGGCCGTAAAGCCATGGAGTCCTTCGACAGACGCCACTACACCCGTCTGGAGCTCAACGACCTGCACTATGAAGTGTGAGGAGCTCACACACACTGCGGAGACGCTCGCTGCCTCACACACACTGCTCACCTGAAGCGGCTCAAGCAGAGAAATAAAGCAATACACTGAACTCAGGTCCTGACGCCGCCACAGCCGAGATCCTTCACCGGCCTCATATCTGCTTTCCTTTCTCAGTGTTTCACTACACGGGTCTCCACTGCACCACACACCAGCACTGAAGCTGGAATTAAAGGACGCCTACTATGCCCAAATCACACACACACACACACACACACACACACACACACACACACACACACACACATTAAAACAGCAGCAGTGTGTGCAGATATCCATTCATTACTTCTATTTTTATAATCTCACTGTGATTGACGTTCTCCCTCTGTACATGTTAGGGGAGGGGGAAGCCCCGCCCACTAGTGCCCATCTCATTAGCATGTCCAGCAGGCCTGAGTGAGAAGCAGCCGTCTGTCCATTAGCCATTAGAGTGTTTGAGCTGCTGAAGATGATGTCAGCATAGACTGACACACACACTCACACACTGAAGCACACACACTCACACTGAAGCACACACACTCACACACTGAAGCACACACACTCACACACTGAAGCACACACACTCACACACTGAAGCACACACACTCACACTGAAGCACACACACTCACACACTGAAGCACACACACTCACACACTGAAGCACACACACACACACACTGAAGCACACACACACACACACTGAAGCACACCTCAGATGTTGTGATGAGGCATAGCAGGTCTCCTTTAAGCGCTGGGTTAGAGTTGCACAGACGTCCCTGCGGTTGTGTTCCTCCAGGTGTGTTGTGTGTTGTGTGAGATGCGTGCGCAGCGCTGTGTGAATGTGGATGTTTGTGGTTGTTTTGCTCTGATGGGTGTGTTTGATTATGGGTCAGCGGTGGACAGCATGCGGCACATTCACTGATGATTATTGATCTGTTCTGATCATTCACTTGTGTTTCTACTCTAATTCTGCTTGGCTGGTCTCTAATCGGCTGTTATTATCTTCATTATTATTATTATATGTTGTTGTTGTTGTTATGTTTTTGGTGGGCTTTGGCTTTTACACACACCTCCAGATTAATGTGATTATTTCTCCTGCTGAACAATAAAGCAGTCTTTTCTCAAGATTTACAGGTTTGTGGTTTTATTTGAGCTGTGATTTGTTGGTATTCTTCAGTTTTTATTTTCTCTGCTTCAAAACAGGATGAATGCACGTATAGTGACGATAGAGGAAGAACGACATTATAATTACCATTAAATAATGTCATTTAATTATAACACAGACAGAGTGTTTGAGGGGTTAATGAAAGCACAACACTGCAGCTGATCTGACAGTGTGTCAGAGTTTCTCCAGGGTCATGTTGAGTATGTACAGAGCACAGTAGATCAAGCGTACAGATCTGTGAACAAGGTCATTTAATAATCAAGTCACACGTTTATAAAGTTACAATGATTTCTGTTTCAGATAAAGCAGTTACTTACAGCTTTATCCATCAAATAAAACATTTCTAAACATTTCTATGAAGCAGGACAGCTGTACTCTGAGCATGTTTCTTGATCATCAGATCAGCATATGAGCGTGAACGCTAAAGCATCGTCTGACTCTGAGCAAGAGTTTTCACATTTACATCATTTGAATAAAATAATAACTGTGTTATCATAATGTTTCACCACATTACCCTTTACGATCTTATTGATCAAATGATTTCATGTAGTCTCTAATTAGCATTTACTTGGTGCAATAATAATGTAATCATGATGAGATACACAAGCTAATGTTTGCAGAGAGTTGAGTGATGGTGTGTGTTTAGCAGTGTGCAAACAGAAGAGGGCCCTGTTCAGTAGAACACCTCTCATGATATGTAGATCTCACTTATAAATGCATCATCGTACATGTCTATATGGGGAACTGGACTGATATAACTCATATCCACAACAGATTTCCTGCACACTTTAATATGTGCAAAATAAATATGAAATCTAAAAATAACTGCACATTAGCTGATCTGCGGACTGATAAATATGCGCTTATAACAGTCGTGAGCAGCACGGACTGCTGATGGGGATAGCTGAGAGTCAGTGGTGATCAGCAGTGTACTGTAACTCCTGTCGCTTTGTGTTGTTTTGTGTTTCGGGCCGCAGCACAAACCGCTGCGTGAAAAACTAGTCCCACTGGAATGCGCCTGGATACACGCGTCCAGAACGCCCGCGACGCGCCACATCGCCTCTTTTCCTCTCATTAAACCGAGGCCAGCGCACAGGGATCGGATGTGGAGACCGAGGGAGACGCGAGGGCGATGAAAATCAACAATAGCGAGCTGAAGAGCCCCGGAGAAAGAGTCGAGCCGCGCGCGAGGGAGGGTGAGGGAAAGGGGGAAGGGTTTGGTTTTGGACGCGTCCGGGCATTTTTCCTGTGAGCGGAAGACGACGGACGGACGGCGAGATGTCGCGGTCACACTGAAACACCGAAACCATCAAATCGATGAAAAACTGCAGCGGAGAATCAACGCGAACAACCCGAATCACAGACGCGCGCGGCCGGAGCGATGCGAGCGGCGCGGCGCGGCTGAGCGTTGAAGATGGGTGCCGTGCTTCAGACTCTCTTACTGTGTACTTTGTGTTTGCAGATACGCGGTGAGTTTTCATCCGATCGCCTGGAATTGTGTGTGTCGATGTGCTGAATCTGAGCCCGTGTGTGTGTGTGTGTGTGTGTGTGTGTGTGTGTGTGTGTGTGTTTGTGAGTGTGTGGTGAATCAGTGCTGTTGTTCAGCGGCCGATGCTAAGCTTAGCTGCTGCTGCTGTATTGTTGTGGATCTGTAACGTGCTGTTTTGTTTCTTCACTGTGTGTGTTTGTGTGTGTGTGTGTGTGTTTGTGTGTGTGTTTGTGTGAGATTTCCTTCATCAAACTCGCTGCTTTTCTGCTGCTTTTGTTGTCTTGTAGCAACAAAAGCCTCGAGTGAGTGTGTTTGGGTTTGTGTGTGTGTGTGTGTGTGTGTGTGTGTGTGTGTGTGTGGCCTGTGAGCGAGTTTGCTGTGAAATCTGCTCCAGTTTGTGAAGTTGGTTTCTGGGAGCAGATAGTCTGTTGTGTTGTTCTGTTGTGTTGTGTTGTGTTGGTCTGATTGTGTGGTGTTTGTTGTGGAAATCCTCCTCCTCTTCAGTGTGATGAAGGTGTGAGGTGTTGAACAGCTGCTCAGGTGTGACTGTGATGAACACACACACAGCAGCACAAAGTGTGTAAAAGTGTGTGTGGATCAGCTAGAAGCCTGTCGGGCTCCTCAGCCAGATATTAAGTGTCCTCGGTGCTCAATATTTCTAGTATTTGCTCTGGGCCCGGCGGAGCGCAGCTCTGGCACGGCCTTCAGTCAGTGGCCCGGAGTTCTGCGAGTTTCTAAATATTTGTGAAAGGAAATTCCCCGTGTGAGGAGAGCAGGCGGTGGGCTGAGGTCGCGGAGAGCCGGTGTTCTGCGGTGGATGTGTCAGATTGAGGTTTGAGTCAGTGCCAGATCCTGCAGAGACGCGCACACACACACACACACACACACACACACACACACACACACACACACACTCACTGACTGGAGCCCGGCGCTCTGGGGAACCGCTCATCATTAGTTCTGGCTTCTCACAGCATAAACCTGTTTCTGCACACTTACTGTCACAAACACAACACTGACACAGACACTGACACAGGCCTGTAGAGCGAGCAGAGATGGAGGAGCACTGATGCTGGAGATATCCTGAAGATATCATTAATCAACAGCAGTGTGATGAGCGAGAGGATAATAGATTCCTTTAATCAATGTTTTCCTGTAGAATTGGGTTTATGTTTGGTTCTGAAAGGGATATTTCACATTAAACAACACTGACTGTTTATTTGAGTGTTTGTTTATCGTTGAACACTGGAGATGTTTTGAAGAGTGCGGTGTGAATGTTTTCTCCAGAATATCTTCAGTTTTGTGTTCAACACCTGAGAGAAACTGCTGAATCTGTGGCGCAGGTGAGGCAGAGCCGTGTGTTTACATGGTCTGAACTCTCCGTTTGAGTGTCTGATGTGTTTATTCCTCTGCTTGATGTCGTGTATATGGTGCTGATGTGTTCCACTGGAGTGACATTAGTCTGTTTTCCCCTCTGTGTCCTGCAGGGCTGCCGCTGCTCCTGTATGCTAACCGGAGGGACCTGCGTCTGGTGGACGCGGCTCACGGTCGGGCCAACGCCACGCTGGTGATGGGCGGTCTGGAGGACGCGGCGGCGGTGGATTATATCTATGCGCAGGGCCTGATCTACTGGAGCGACGTGAGCGAGGAGTCTATTAAACGGACGCTGTTTAACGGCTCGGCGCCCAGCGGCGTTCAGACCACCGTCATCTCCGGTCTGGCCTCTCCGGATGGCCTGGCCTGCGATTGGATGGGGAATAAACTTTACTGGACCGACTCCGAGACCAACCGCATCGAGGTGGCAGAGCTGGACGGGACGCACCGCAAGGTGTTATTCTGGCAGGACCTGGACCAGCCGAGGGCCATCGCTCTGGACCCGGGCCGCGGGTGAGTGAGCCTCATGTGTCCGCCAGCACACTCCTGGTGTCTGGAGCCGAGGCGTGCTGCAGCTTGTTTTCGGGATGTTTATGTTAGTTCCAGGTCTGCTGAGCAGAATGAAGAGGCGCTGCTGGAGCTCGCACTCCTCCGCTGAGCCACCTCCACGGTTCTCCAGCCACTATTAAACCTCTGCTGAAAGCTTGAGTGGTTCCTTTAATGGCATCAGTACTCTAATGTAATGAAGTATAGTCAGAATAGACCTCAGCATTCAGTTAGCGGATCCAGCGTCAGTCCAGAGTAATGCAGTGTGCAGGGAGGCAGCTTCTCTAGACTCAAACTAAAGTAAATGTCCATATAATGGCCCGGTTCCACTGAGAGGGCCAGTACGGGTCACCTTCAGCAGGCTGGCGATTCTGCTGACAAAAGGGCACGCTTATGATGATGGGCATGGTGTACCACAGAGTTTCAGATGACGTCATTGTTACTCAAGCAAATGAATAGAGCAGGGGTGTCCAAACTCGGTGGGTCGGTGTCCTGCAGATTTTAGCTCCAACTTGCCTCAACACACCTGCAAGGATGTTTCTAGAAAGCCCAGTAAGAGCTTGATTAGCTAGCCCAGGTGTGTCTGATTGGGGTTAGAACTAAACTTTGCTGGACACCGGCCCTCCAGAACTGAGCTTGGACATGCCTGCTGTAGAGTAAAGCTGTACGGGTCGCTCACGCATCATATGAGCAGCACTTCACACACACACACACACACACACACACACGCTTCACACACATCAGCACTGTAGACATGTTCATCACTGACCTTACATCAACATGATCATACCTGCAGATCAATGATAATAGCCTACTGTAACGTCTGCCGTTACATCAAATACATGAATAAAGGATCATATATGAACACACACACACACACACACACACACACACACACTCTTACAGTCCCCGATATGACACCAGTTACAGATAAACTACACACAGCAGACATTTAGTCCTTATTTGTGTTCAAAAACAGCTGGAGACACAGGCCAGAGTCAGAGCAGAGCATCATCTCTGTGTGTGTGTGTGTGTGTGTGTGTGTGTGTGTGTGTGTGTGAGAGATTCTGATAGAGTCTCTCCGTCATTCCGCTCAGCAGCTGATGATCAGCGCTCCTCATGGCGTGTGTTCATGGTTTAGTTTACCGACTCATCATTTTCTGCTGTTGTTTTCCGGCTTCTCCTTTGTTTTTTGGCGCTTCACTATCGCGTTTGTCTCTTTCTGTAAGGATCGGATATCAGAGCGCTTCAGCGTTCACGAGCACGTGATTAATATGAGCTCAAGAAGTTCGTTATTTCTAATATAGACGCCTGACGAGCTCTCTGGGGAATGTGAAACCGCTCGCACTTTTAGACGGGCTCGTAAAACAATAACAGGACACAGCAGATTGAGTTGTTGTGGCTGTTCATCAGGATGAGGACATGGTGTGTTTGAGCTCGGCTTGTTATTATATGTATATATTATTACGGTGTAATGTCTCGGCTGTGTGTTTGAAACATGGCGGCTCCTTTGTTTTTATTCTCCTGCTTCTGCGAGAGACGTATCTCGGTAAACCAATAGCGTTCAGCGGCACGTCTAGCTCCGCCTTTTGGGACCCTTTTTTCGTGCTAGGTACCCTTTGCAAAGGGTGACCAAAAAGTGGTACGGTCCGGTTTGCTTTCAGGTATCTTTGACAGTGGAAACGGCCGTGAAAGTGTTCTGATCTGTGTACGGCTCAGTGCCACTGCAGAAATGCTTCTCTTACTTAGATTTTTTGTCTTGTTTCTAGTCCAAATATCCAAAAACTCTTAAATCAAGCAGATTTTTCTAGACAAGCAAAACATACTGTCTTGTTTTAAGATATAATATGACAAAATTAAGTGAGTTCTTCTTAAAACAAGTTAAATAATCTGCCAATGGGGGAAGCAGAATAATCTTATGTCAAAAGGAAAAACAACATGATTTTGCTTCCCCCATTGGCAGATTATTTTGCTTGTTTTAAGGAAAAACTCATTTAATATTGGCATATTATTTATGAAAACAAGACAATATGTTTCGCTTGCCCAGAAAATGCTTCTTAATATAAGAGTTTTTAGATATTTAGACTAGAAACAAGACAAAAGTCTGAGTAAGAAAAGCATTTGGTAACGGTTCATTAAGACAGTGCTGTGCCTCTTGACTGGTGGGAAACACCCTCTATATAGTGTCTTACTCGGGCAGTGGAGATCAGTGGTTTAACAGAACTCAGATCAGTGTTGTCAGAACTGGGGGCGGAGTCAGCATTCCTTCTTCTGCTATTGAGCAGGTATTGATTGACTGACCGGAGCTAGTCCATCTGCAGATATTAATGTTTACATTCTACAATCTACTGAATAATCCTTACAGTGGTCAATGAGTGAAGCACAATCTGACGGATATACATTTATTCCAGCAGACCAACACCAAACAAGCTAAATGTGTAATCAGCACTACCTGAAGCGGCTTAACACATGCTGTTTTCTGCCTGGCAGATCATTTCTGTCCTTTACATCATGTTGTAGTGACGGTGTAATGTAATGTCTGTAACATCTCTAAACTGAGGGAATCTCCTGCTCCACCTTCAACAGACATCAGTCAAATAAGTGAAATAAACCACACTATAAATAAATACAGAGCTCACGTAGAGGACTAGAACACGTCTATGTTACTAAATACAGCAATAAACCAAGAGACTGAGGGAAATGCAGGATATAATGCAACACTACAGCGCTTTACAGAGCGGGTGTCCACCGGCCACATCCAGCATTGGCAGAATATAAAGCTTCAGATCAGGAACGGCGCAGAGATGAAAACATTAAGCAGAAACTCTTCAGTATTAAAGCAAGCAAAAATAAATGATAGTTGAAGAAAGGTGAAGCTAAAAAGCCCCAATCGTGCTCCCTGTACAGTCATCCTAATGAGTTTCTCCCTCAGCACACATGATGGGGATGTTTCTTCCCTAAACGGGCTCATTCCGAATGAAAAGTCCCTCCGTATGCCCTATTCACGTCTATCTGTACAGCACTTCTCACGGTAATGACTGCTCCAGCTTCACTAAAGGTGCACGTCAGAATCCTGCAGTTAGTGAGGGTCTGTTTGAGCTCGGGTCAGTCTGATCTGACAGTGGGAAAGGAGTGTGTGTGCTGCAGGTCTGGAGTAGGTGAAGGGTTCATTGAGCTCTACAAGTGTGACCTCCAGCTCTGAAATCCCAGAATGCTCCAGTGTTGGAGATCTCGTTAGCCTCCACCAACACATCTGCAATGCTGATAATGCTGATATATATAATAATGAAGACGTGCATTGCTATTGATGATGTGTGCAATAGTTAATCGCAGCATCTGCCATGTGGAGTCTGGATTATATTAGGATATTAACCAGCGGACACACTTCAGGACACATGCAGTTTCACCCTATGCAGTGAAGATGTAGAATATCTGGGCTGTAGAACTGATCAAGAGTAGCTTTAGCCCAGATTAACTGCATTTATTTCTACAGTGAGGACAATAGACAGCTTTAGGACAGCTTAGACGGAAGCATTGCTCCGCTTCACATGTTGACGCCTGTATAAAGTGTTGATTTATACCGGATTTATTTCACTTTAATTCCTCGATACTGTTCAGAAAACCATAAAGCGCTGTTTATTAATTAATCTCTTCAACTGTTTATTATATGTCATGCAGATTCCCTCCACTACACTGGTAAACATGTCTGTGAATGAGCAGTTTCTCTATTAGTGTGTGTGTGTGTGTGTTTGTGTGGGTTAGCGGTGGTGAACTGCATTATGGGATGTTGATCTCTGCTCTGTCCTCTTCTGATGATGAAGAACTCTACAGTTTAACAAAGGGACTTTTACTGACAGTTCAGTGTTTTAAATAATATCAGTGATAATATGTAGAGGAGTGAGTGTGTGAAGCAGCAGGAATGTGCTGCAGTTTATTACAAGGGTCTGTAGCGTAATACACACACACACACACACACACTATACAGCACTGCACACTGTTACACACGTGCAGAAACACACTGTTCACACCTATATAAGGAAGACCAGGATCCCATAATGCACTTCCACAGCAGAAATGGAATAAAAACAGAACCTGAATGGCAGAATAGAGGACGCTGCTCATGTCTGGATGTCTGGCAGTGTACAGGACATCACCATCACTGTACAATGATCATTTACAGATCCAGTTAGCTGGATTCTGATTTGTGTGTCTGCTAAAGCCTGGTTATCGACTCCTAATTCCTCTGACATGCACATTAAGGTCTTTTATTTTTCTAAAGCTGCTGTATGTCAGTTTCTGACTCTTTTAAAGCACAAAAACACAACAACATGTTTGTAGATATTTCAGAAACGTGTGCAGTAAACAGTCAGATATTGTACTGAACGTGTGTGTTACAGAGCGTCTGTCTGTGTTTTGGTCTCTTTAACCCGCCCACTGCCAGTGTAGCCAATTATATTTCAGCACTGCGGGTTGCCTTGGTTTAATTATTCAGTCAGTCAGGAAGACTGTAAGCATGCGTCCGTGACTGAAATGCGCCCTCTGGTGGACAGCAGCAGACTCTGAAATGAGCTGCAGATTCAGAGTTCCACATGAGGCTATTAATGAGCAAATAATATCAATATTAGGAGTGTGAACATGAGGTGAGCAGGTTATATTGTACCTCGTGTCCTAACATCACACTACATGAGGAGATACACAGTGATGAGCAGTTTACAGCAGACGAAACAGGACAGAAGTGTAAACACTGGCATTCAGAATAGGTCCCTCACTGACTCCAGCACAGCGCTGAGCTCTATACTCTCATGAACACACATTACAGCTGGTGAACAGGGTTCATGTAGATGCTGGATCACTGGTGTGTGTGTGTGTGGGTCTGCAGTGCAGTTTCAGACGCTGTACTGTGTGTTCTCCAGATCTGAGCTGAACTCTGCTGCTGCTGCTGTCAGTAGTGTGCTGATACATGTCAAACTCGCATTATCAGCGGTCAACACTGAATGCAGCAGGGGAATAGAAGCCGTCTTTAATATATATTAATTAATTAATTAAACATTTCTGTAATATAGAAAATGTTCCTTCTATTGGATGCTGTTGCTTTTATTTAGAGCTCGACTTAAATCCGCCTTTGTTGGTGTCGTCAATCTGGCAACATCATAATAATTATAATAATTCAGTTTATTTGTAAATGGCGCCTTTCCAGACACCCAAGGTCGCCTTACAATAAGCATCGACAGCCATGCTAGAACAAATGAAAACAAATAATAAAACAAGCATTGAGCAAACAAGTATAAACACACATCACAGATAAAAAAACACCATGATAAAATACTGTTAAAGGAAAGCCTGCTCAAAAAGAGATTTAATTAATCCATTAAGCACACTCCATTGTGCTTAATGGAGTGCGGAGGTGGTGTGTTGAAACAGGAGTGCAATACCTAGTTCACCCACTGGGTGTTTAACGTCCACACTGCAGCTTTAAGATCAGTTTACTCACTTCAGAAAGTCAGAGTTATTTCATTTAATAAAATAAGTGTTTAATCTGGTGTCTATTTAGCTAGCGCCCTCTTGTGGACACTACAGCACTGCGCATTGCATCATTCAGTCTCGCCTGTACATTTAGGATCTAGCTTGTGTCCCCTTTGGGACTGCAGTGCATCCTGGGAAACATGAACACACCTGAAGTGCTGACATCACACACACTCAGCTAACCTGCCAGTCAGTCCAGCAAACCTGTTTGAGTTTCCGTCTGCCGCTGAACACTGGAGATATCTGAGGAATGCTGGAGGGAGCAGTCAGTCCTGCAACATTCTGCTAAATATCTCCAGTGTTCAGCAGAATGAAGAGACTCCTGAGGGTCTGCAGTTAATCTGAGCCTCCTACTGCAGCTGCTGGAGATATTCACACTGCTTACCATCATCATCATCATCATCATCATCATCATCATCATCTGCACAGCACAGCGCACGAGCTCTGATAATCACTGATGTAATGCAGTAGTGTAGCTTTACAGTCATTTAGTGTTCAGCTGAGGGGAAATACTGCCCACATGTGCTGATTATCAGTGTTTAGCTCATGAGGAATGCTGTGTGTATATAAATATCACAGTATGGAGATCAGGGCTGTAATAAATGCTCTCTCTAAATGTCTAAAAAACAAAACAGCTTTTCCCCTTCAAACACAATATATTTATTTTGGGAAACGTTTAATATATGTTGGAGCATTAAACACGTCAGGCTGAACAGAGTTTCTGCAGCGTCTTGCATCTCAAAATCCAAGTTTTAGGCCTTACTGAAATATGGTGATGTAGCTCTTAAATCTTTTTAAACACGTCTACATTTTCCTCTGTTCATGTACAGCTACCCAATCTGGCCAAACCCCATACAATCCCCAACAATATTAAACTATTCATGTGAAGATGTGTCCTCGAGCCGGGATTCGAACACAGGACACTCTGATGTGCCACTGCACCTTATGTCAACTTGCTAACCACTAGGCTATTGTGCCGACAGTTTATCAGAGCTTGTAAAGGTTTTGTTAATTGATTTATTTATTGTTTAAAGAAATTTTATGTTGTAAGAAAGTGTAAAGACACAAGTAGAGCGTGCTGGTTTTATACAGTATTTAACATATTTTGCTAAGAAATATCAAATTAAATTTTTGCATTAATTAAATATATGATTAATGCTGTTTAATATATAAATATATAGCTAAATGTGTTCACTTCTAATGTTGTTTTATTGATAGGGCAAATAGAAGCCAGCCCGCGCTACACCTTCAACACTGTTATCACCCCATGCCTACACACACACACACCTGGCTCAGAGCAGTGAGGCTGACCTCTGACCTTTGGCGTAGCTGGTGAGGGTCTCACACACACACACACACACACACACACATACTCGTGTTTCAGTGTCTCGGTTATATTTAGGAGCTGAAGCTGTTGCTCCACACACACACACACACACACACACACACACACTAACCTCAGCAGCACAGTGGTCACATGACTCCCCTGACCACAGCTGATTGGCTGTTTGCAGACTCGCCATATAGAGCATTTTGAGGGATGTAAACAAACCAACAGTCCCGACACATGTGCTGCAGTCTTCAGTGTGTATGTGTGTGTGTGTGTTGACATGCAGTGTGTGTTATTCACACATCTCCTGCACTGTGCCACTGTTATTATATACATTATTAATATACGATCATATAATCACATAAATTGTGCAAAACAATAAAGTTAAACTGAAGATATGAGTAATAATAAGTATAACTGTGTGTGTGTGTGTGTGTGTGTGTGTGTGTGTGTGTGTGTGTGTGTGTGTCAGCTGTGCTGTGAGCTGCTGATGAGACGGTTGAGAAATCACCATGACCTCTCAGACAAACACACCTGCACCAACCATACAGACACGTCCAGACACAGCCTGCGTGAGAGAGTGTGTGTGTGTGAGTGTGTGTGTGGCGTCGTCATGTAAACGGGCCTCCTGAATGTGTCACGCCGGTGTGAATCGGGAATGTGAGGCTTGTCGTTTGCACAGCTGCAGCTCCACAGCGTGAGGACGAGAAGGACGATGATGCGTTTCCTGCGTGTGTGCCTGTGTGTGTGTGTGCGTGTGTGTGAGATGCCAAATACCTCAGATGCTTCTCAAACAGAATCATTCATCAGGACAGAAACTACAACCAGGAAGATCTGAACAATTTACTGTTAATGAGGGCAATTCCTGGAGCTCCTGTCCGTCATCAGAGATCCACAACACACACACACACACACACACACACACACACACACACACACACACACACACTAGGCATGGGGAGATAACAGTGTTCAAGGTGTATCACGGTTTGGAAAACTTGAGGTTTTAAAGCCGTCAACATTCTGTAATTCCGCTCCTACGGTGTGATCTCCAAAGCTGCTGTTTGAACAGTGAGTAAATGAGTGTGTGAGGAAGTCCTGCAGACAGCAGAAGATCATCCCTGATTTCATTGTTCAGTCTGACGTGTTCACTGCTCCACAATACTTCAATGTTGCTCGAAATATAATATATTGTGTTCAAAGCGGAGAACAGGTTACGCTGTTTACCCAGACATTTAGAGAGAATCAATATCACAGCAGTAATCATCACACTGTCATATTAACATGCTGAATCTCATAACAGCGCCTGCATGAGTGTAAGCATCAGTATTGCAGAGTGTGTGTGTGTGTGTGTGCGCGCGCGTGTGTGTTTGCACAGGGCATTATTACTTTAACTGCGGCAGCAGCAGAGTGCTGATGGCCTAGTGGAGCAGTGCGCCGGTACAGCAGCACAGTGCTCACAGAGACCCGGGTTCGATTCCCACTACAGCCCAGAAATAATTATTATTAAAGACATGAGTAGATTTGCCTGCGCACACGCTGAACACCAGTGTTTCCTCTAGGATGTGTTCCAGCTGTGGCGGCAGATTCTGTTGGGTCTTTTCCACTGATCTACCTGCTACTCGAGATCATCATCATGTCATCAATCTCCGCTTGCGTGCTGATTTCCTCTGTTCGTGCACAAAACGTCCTGCACTGCCTCAATTACACGCTGTGTTTTTGTGCGCTGCTGTAGTGCAGTTCAGTGTGTGTGTGTGTGTGTGTCTCCAGCATTTATCAGATCTGCACTGTATAATCATGGACGCTGTGTTCATCAATACTGAAAGCCTCGTCATGCTCCGGCTCACACACCTGCAGTCAGTCAGTGCATCACCTCAAAGGGTTAAACAGATGAGCACAGCACTACTAATGTTGCTGAACTGTTATCATTCACTTGCCTTTAATGCATTTGATGTGATTATTAGCCGCTATCAATAAAAACAGCAGCTGAAGGTTGATTGATTAGCTGTAATGTCGCCGTGGCGGGGTGAATTCTGCTGTAGCGGCCGTCATGGAGGAATATAGAGCGTTCCTGTACACGAGACTACAGTACTCTGCAGCTGTACACGGTCAGACTCCTCCACTCGTGTATCAGCTCCATTAATCTGCATATTCTGTTTCCTACTGAACCATCGCCGCCACTCTGGATCAGTCACACTGTCAGGTCATTAAGATATGGTGAATACCGCAGTCTACATCACTGAAAATAAACACTTACAGTGTGTGTGATTATCCAACATCATGCAGCCCTAGACTGACTGCTCTGAGCCGTGTGTGTGTGTGTGCGCATGTGTAAAGCATTATCATGTTGAAGATGTATTTAGGCGACTGCAGAAAAGCTGTGTGTTGTGGTTCTTTGTGCTCAATACACCATCCTGTGTGTATTGACCCGGTGGTCCTGTGTATTGTGAATGCTGTGCTGCTGTCAGTGATAAGTGTGTGTGTGTTTCTGCTCTGCGGCTCAGGTTCATGTACTGGACGGACTGGGGCGAGATCCCGAAGATCGAGCGTGCTGGGATGGACGGGTCGCTGCGCTCTGTCATCGTGGAAACGGAGATCTACTGGCCCAACGGCCTGACCCTCGACTACCAGCAGCAGCAGCTCTACTGGGCCGACGCCAAGTTCAACTGCATACACCGCTCCAACCTGGACGGCTCCAGCAGGTCAGAACACCTCCGTCACCAGCGCACGTGTGTGTGTGTGTGTGTGTGTGTGTGTCCCTCTGCTGACCTATGTGTGTGTGTGTGTGTGTGTGTGTGTGTGTGTGTGTGTGTGTGTCTCTGCTGACCTATGTGTGTGTGTGTACCCCTCTGCTGACCTATGTGTGTGTGTGTGTGTGTGTGTGTCTCTGCTGACCTATGTGTGTGTGTGTGTGTGTGTGTGTGTGTGTCCCTCTGCTGACCTGTGTGTGTGTGTGTGTGTGTGTGTGTGTGTGTCTCTGCTGACCTATGTGTGTGTGTGTGTGTGTGTGTGTGTCCCTCTGCTGACCTGTGTGTGTGTGTGTGTGTGTGTGTGTCCCTCTGCTGACCTATGTGTGTGTGTGTGTGTGTGTGTGTGTGTGTGTGTGTGTGTGTCCCTCTGCTGACCTATGTGTGTGTGTGTGTGTGTGTGTGTGTGTCCCTCTGCTGACCTATGTGTGTGTGTGTGTGTGTGTGTGTGTGTGTGTGTGTCCCTCTGCTGACCTATGTGTGTGTGTGTGTGTGTGTGTGTGTGTGTGTCTCTGCTGACCTATGTGTGTGTGTGTGTGTGTGTGTGTGTCCCTCTGCTGACCTATGTGTGTGTGTGTGTCTCTGTCTCTGCTGACCTGTGTGTGTGTGTGTGTGTGTGTGTGTGTGTGTGTGTGTGTGTGTTCAGGGAGGTGGTGGTGAAGGGCTCTCTGCCGCACCCGTTTGCGCTGACGCTGTACGAGGACACACTCTTCTGGACGGACTGGAACACACACTCCATTCACTCGTGCCACAAACACACGGGCGAGAACAGCCGCGAGGTACACTCCAACATCTTCTCCCCGATGGACATCCACGTCTACAGCCAGCAGCGCCAGCCCATGGGTAAGAGGCTCCGCATCCCATAATGATAGTCAGTGACGCGGCCCAAACCTGGACTCAGTGGTTCGGAGGGGAGAGGGCAGTACAGCTGTGTCTCAGAGCAGAGGCTGCATGTGAAGCTGCAGCTTGGCTGTAGGGGTTAAGCAGGCAATAAGGGGAAGAGTCCGGCTGTGGTTCTGGAGTGAGATCTGATGTTCAGTAGTCATGTCAGAGCAGACTATCATCTCACACTCACGGCAGGAGTCAGATGAGGAGTCTGAAGCCTGCTCTGTACTCGACGCGTCCGCTAGTTGGCTCGAGTGTGTGTCGTCATCGCTGTGTTTGCGGAGGTTTGCTTTGTGTGTGTGTGTGTGTGTGTGTGTGTGACATGATCTGGGCTGGCGGAGCGCATGGTTTCTCTGAGCGGAGTGAGCAGTGCACACGGCGCTGAAATCTTGGTTTTACAGAGTTAGCCTACAATGAACGAATATTACGACTACAAACAATACTTCCGCCCCTGTGACATCACGAATGTTCGTTATTGCGCACACACACTGAGCAGGTAAGGGGCGTGGCCAGAGGCGCTGTATCGGTATAGCAGATGAAGCTAAAAATGCGTCTAAACACAGCTGCTTGCACAGAGCATCGCCTGTTTCTGTATTTGGGCTTATAAAGGACACGACACAGAGACAGAAGTGCTCACAGCTCAATATTAATCATCTTCCAGAGAATTATAAAACACACAGCAAGCGTGATCTGACCAAACAGCCCCACAATCTCTCCCAGTTCAGTGCTGAATTCGGCTGAAATCTCCTCAGCAGAAGCTGTCAGGTACATCAGTGAGTGTCTTTATCAGTTAGTATTGATCATGACATGTTCAGTGTCTAGCGGGAACAGTGTGCTGTAGCAACGATGGAAACAATGCGAAATGCTGCTTTGCGGGCAAACGATTTAACTACAAACTCACATTAATCAGCCAAACTGCTGTAAACACACACACACACACACACACACACACACACACACTCACACACACACAGATGCACACGCAAACGCTGTTAAAGGAGCCGCACCCCATTTTCATTTGTTACAGACACATGTCAGATGTTATTATAGAGAGCAGGCAGGAGGTTGACTGAGGTTTACACAGCAGAAAAGCGTGTGCTTGTCCGGGCGTGACGTGGAGCCGATTCGCCAATCGCAGCACATTATAACGATGACCAATCACAGTCACTGTGTATAATCAAAGTGAGATGTATGAAAAAATAACAGCATTTCCTTCAAGTGAACCATGAGCACACATTGCTTTGCATCTTATAAACACAACCAAGCCTTAAAATGACATTGTGGACCAGCCCTTTAGGATGTTTGGGTAAAACCTGAGGGATGCGTTCAAGCCAAGAGAGGCAGAAGAAGAGAGCCAGTACACAATCTGTGTTCCAGCAGTCACAGCTTTAACACTGACGCACATATTACAGTCTAATGTAAACTATTTAATACTAAAATACTCATTACTGGTATCTGGAGGGAATATTTGATCCTCAGTGTACTGATGCCGGCCTCTCGGCCAGGGCCAGAGCGAGCTGAACTGCTGCTCTAGGCAGAGGACGATCACGCCGCCCTCAACCCCAATGTGAAAACGCAAGTGACCGGTTATGAAAATGAAGTGAGGTGTCGCAGACATCTATTCTGCCGCCCTATGCGCGGATATA